TGCAGATCCTGTCGACTGCGCCATTTGAAAGGTTTGATTGAGTCGTTTTGTTACCGAGAACTGATTTACATCAGATTGATAGTTAGACGCACACCTTAGGCCTTTCAAATCCCAAGATTTGGGTTCTTTTTGTGGATCAACACTTATTAACATTTTGATATTACAATTCAATGAATCTAGAATTTTGGTAATTTTCACTTTAAACGTTGTACTTTTGTCGTTGTACCTTAAATATCATTAACTTAAACTTGAATTTAATCACTTTATTAATCTTAATATTAGAAAAATAGAAAACACATTTTACTTGATCACTTAGATTAATTCATAATCACTTCTTGTTACACATTTAACTCAATTTAGTTAATCAATTGATGATGACGATGATATTAATCAAAACTAATGATAATTAAAGGTAAATTGTTACTCTATTTATACCTTAAGAAACGGAAGGAAACTAATTCAGAGGAAAAGACATTAAGTCGGAAATGGTCAAGTTAGACAATAACAAAAAAGAAAGAGAAAAATGAATAGAAAGAAAAGAAAGAGAGACAACTTGAGGGATCATTATCTCATTGAGATCGTAATAGAAAAAAGAAAGTAAAGAAAAATGAAGAGACTTGAATCTTTTAAATTGTAATTGGAAGAGGGTAAATTTATCCTTTCATAACAATTTACTGATTGGTCTGTTCTAACTGCTAATCTAATTAATCAGTTTGTTGAAATTAAATCAACTGTAATAACAATAATACAATGATGATTTTTAAAAAAAAAGTCAATTGTAATCAAATTGATTATCACAATTAAATCGTAATTAATTTTCGTGGTTAATTAACTTTCATCATGTCATCAATCAATAATTAATGATCATCATCAATCATCAGGATGGAGAAAAAAATTAATAATCATTATAATCAAGATTAAAATCTTGATAGTGATTAGTTGGTAAATTGTTTCAATGACTTACTGATTGTTGCCCTCAGGCTGGTTAACTGTAAATCAAATTAAAAGTTAATTGTAATTATAACCACAAACTTTTTTTTTCTTAGCTTTTGATTAACAGATTGTGTCACAATCATTGTTCATGATTAACCTTGATTGTTGTATAATTGAAGGACAACAATCAAGAACAATAATCATGTTAATCAACAAATTAACGAAACAATAAAACTATGAAAAGCGTTTAATTCAATATTATTTTTGTTTTATGACAATTTAGTTAATTGTTGGAATTACAATTAGAATAAATTTCTTCAGCTAATTTATATTCAAATTGGAATAGTTAATTGTTATAATCATCTTCTAAATTCTTGTTTTTCATCAGCTATTATTTACTTAATTCAGTTCGTGATTGTTAAAGTTTAATCAACAAGAAAAAAAAGATTCTAATTTTTTCTGATTAAATTTAATTGTAAATTATTCATTTCAATGATTAATATCATTAACTAGTTAACATTTGATTATTTCATCAGATCAACAATAACAATTAACATTTCTCATTCTCACGGTTCTAACAATTTAAATCAATTACAATTAGGATTCAATCATCATCATTTTACAATTGATTGTTAAATGAATTACAATTAACTAAATCAATTTAGATTGAAAACTAATCAAGGTTAATCATTGACTAGAGAAACATCAAACTATTGACAATTAGTGTGTAGGTAAATCGACTGATAATCTTAATTGTTCAAAATGAAGTTAATCCTCATATCAACAACTCGAATATGTATCAATTTGGTTCAACAATCAACTGATTGTTATAAATGATTAAAACTTTTCCCTTTGTCAATAGTCCATTATACTTACCTAATTATCCCTTTGATTGTGACAATCAATTAGCCTTAGATTCAATTTTACATTCAAACAATTAACTTAATCATCAAAAGTTTTCGTTTAATCATGTTGATTAAATTAATTCAATATTAATTTCAACCTTGACATAATGTTAATCAACAATTAACAATAAACCATTTTGATTATCATTTTAATCATCTTCACCTTAATGTTATGAATATAAATTAATATGATGATCATTATGATGATACAAATTGTGTGAATCATATTTAGTTAACAATTTAAACCAAATAAAGTTTCTAATTGTTAACTATCATCAACAATCAACATTTTTTCATAGCAATTAACCAAAAAAAGTTGCTTCAATTGCTTATGTAAGTTTAGGTTAATGAAAAAATGGTGATTAAATTGATATTAATTAGATTACTCATCTAATTAATTAACTAACTTTCAATGTTCACTTGAATCAAATTGAACTTTAAAAACTGATTGACTTTAATTGTAACAATTAAACCTTGTAAGGTGTTAATTTGTTACAATAATCAACTAATTGAACACAACTAAATTAATATTTCAATAATTAAGGCGTTTTAATTGTTACTTGTTGGTGTTGATCAAGATGATGCTCAATAAAATCAAGTTAATTCAGTTGAAGACTTTTGTTTTCCTCTTAATTGTTAATTCATTTATTAACAATTAGGGTGTTAATAAATTACAGATTCACGGTTAAACAAGTTAATCATTACAATTAAGGCTGAGTTAGTTTAGTAGTTTATTAATTACTATTGGTTAAGTTTATTTACCTCAAAGAAAAGTGATTAAAATCAATAATTAATAAACAATTTGTATTATGAAAAATATAACAATTAACAAATCATTGGAGCAAACAAATTTCATCATTAAGATGTTATCAAAATCATTTAATTGTATTAATGATTAAATCTATTGATTAGATCAACAATTAATGGTGATAATCACTTGATTATAGATTATCGTTATTGTAATTAACCATTTTTACAATTCAATTGTTAGTTAATCATCTCGATAAATTAATCTTTTTGTTCATATTTTTACCTTACCCTTCAAGACAACAATTAAGGTAACAATCAACAAGGATGATGATATAGATGATGGTCGAAGGTTGTTAATTGTTAACAATTAAATGTTAATCATCCACCCTTAACATTATATTAAGATGCTAATCAACAAAAACAAGTTAATTAACTTGATAATCATTGTCTGGTTTAGGTTAAAAAAGGTTGACAAGTTTGGTTAAATTAACCCAAAAATTAACAATCAACAATTAAAAAGATGCTACAATTAACACAATCACCATCTTAATGATTAAAGATGATTTCTTTACAGTTTAATTACCTGAACAATGTGAGATCACCTTGATTGATTAATTGTTGAGAAATTGATTTTTTTTTAGATTTAATTTGTAAAGGGATAACTAAATTAACAATTTTGATTAACGTGATTAGTTGATTATTTCATATAATATTTAAGGAGGAAAAAAAAGAGTCTGGGTTAACAACAATTTAACTTGGTAATTAAATTATAGTTAAATGATATCATTTAATTTCATATTGTATTGTGTTGATTAAATCAACATGACAAACATGAAAAGTTAATTTGATTATTATACTTTGATTGATTGTTCAAATTGATTAAATATTGATCTAATATCTTGTTGTTCAGGTAAGAGAGAAAAGTTAAATTGTTTATCCTATTAAATTATTGTAAACAATTAAAGGTCATCGCATTATCATCTTAATGATAATCAACATGATTACATGATATTCATATGAGAAAGTTTCATGTTGAGAAATTAAATTGAATTAAAATTAATCAAAATTAATCGAAATCAATTGATAATAATAATAAAATGATCTTAAAGGTAAATTTCAAGTTGATTGTTCATTTAAAGTTTCCAATCTAATTGCAACAATTAGTTGGAAATGAATAGTTTACAATCGAGACGAAAAGTTGTTATTGACAATCTACGGAAGGAAATTAATTGTAACAATTTACTAAATTGGTTATTTAACTATGAAGAAATATAAATAATATGATACAAACGAAACAGGAACAAAAAAATCATTAACAATTTAAGTTCCAATGGGATAATAATTGTACAATTTACTGGTGACAATTAATAATTGTTACAATTTAAAGTAAAATCTTTTTCGTTGTTATTATGACGAGGTTGATACAATTTCCTTTGATACAATTAAGTGTCAACAATTAACAGTTATCATTGGAAAAACATGAGAAAGTTAATCGTCTTCATTATCAGTGTATCAACAATGATCAACGAAACAATCGACGGAAAAATGACCTCAACTGCGTTAATTTGGTGCACGATTATCGTGTAATCGAAGGATAATCGCGAATCAGATTAGTCTAAGATTCACAATTGAGAATCATTGATGAAGGTATTTTTCGTTGATTGTTGGTAAATTGTCTGAATCATTATTCTTGATTGTTTAGTTAATCGAGTAAAAGAAGAAGAGAAAAAGTAAAAGTGATAAGTTTTCAAATGAATTCTATTCTTTTAAAAAAAGAACTTTCATTTTCTATTCTTTTCCAACTTCTCTCTCTCTCTCTCTATCTTAATTTCTTCCTCTTTCACCTTCTATTTGTCTTAATTTCTTCTTTAACTAAATCATCATCTTGTTAATTGTTTTCAATTCTTTTCCATTCAATCTTCTAACAATGAAAGATCTTTACCTCAAGTTAAGGTAAAGATAATTTTCTTCCTGATTATCTTTTCAAATTCTCTCTCCTTGTTTACTATATCAACTTTCTTTTTCTCATTTTCTATTGGGAATGTAATCCAAATGGAAAAATCTTTATGGATTAAATTATTAACCAATAAATTAGATCAATAGCTAATCTCATCTATTGTGTAACATCAACATGATTAACATTAGCAGGAAAGATTAACAGTGTTAACACAAACGTAATGGTTCATCTAATCACCACCAATTAACTGGTAACACTAAATTCAAGTATAATTTGATCACTTGGAGTCTGGATTAACAACAACAAGTAACCAAACAAAAGGTGAATCGTCAAGATTAACAGGATATTAAATATAGAAAAATGGAAATGAAAAATGGCGACGAAACTGCATAGCAACAAGAAAGACAAAGGACCAAAGTCAAAGTGTAAATCAATTGGCACAATTAAACACTCACGAAACTTAATTTATTGGCTGATGATGAGTTGGCCAGTGTAGGTGATTGGGTTAATGGTGATGGTGACAATGTGGTCGCAGTTAATGTCGCAATTGTAATTAAAAAAGTAGCCAAAAGACAAGCGTAAATGTTTAACAGGAAAAATATCTCAACGGTTCCACCGGCAAAACCATAATCCTCAGTACCAAGGAAAGGATTATAATAAGACGATGAACTAACAATTATGGAGATGAAACAGATTATTCCAATAACCTAATCAGTGATCACAATCAAAATGGATTAATTAAAAGCGAAACAAAAACAAAAAAAAGGGTTGGGTTCATACGGTTACTTAATCCATGGACAGAAACCAAATGAGAGGGAAAATTAATAAGGAGAACATTTTTTTCCCCTTTTTGTTTACTCACCAATTCACTTAATCGGATTATCCCGGGAATCGTTTTAAAGTATTGACAGTTTACCTTTAATTGTGTTAAATTTAATTTCTTAAAAAGGTTAGTTAATGGCATCTCTGGATCAGTTGATTGTTGGAACACAATTTATCAAAAGAAAATTGATTAAGGTAAGTAAGAGATGATTAGAATTTATAATCTCCTTTTTTTTTATTTTCTTTCCATTTACAGGATATGTTGTTTTCTGTTCCGTTGTTTATGTTCAATAGGAAGTTGATTATCTCCATTAATTGGCTTGGTGTTTTTTTCTTCTCTGTTAATTGTAGCCAATATTTTTCTTTCAATTATTTTAAGTGTTAATTGCTACTGATGATTTAGTAGAAATTGGATTCTCTATAATTAGCCTTTTGTTTATTTATGATTATTTTTTTTCTCTCTTTTGGTTTTTCTAGACTTTTCTCTTTGGATTTTGTTGCAAATCTCTTAACCCACTCTCTCAGATGATTTAGATTATTAATCGGATGTGGATTAATGGTTTACCATTTAGATTATAATCTTAATTGTTCTCAAGCTTCTACTACTTTGTAGCTGATTAACTGGGATCATCAACTTTCGCCTGATTTAACAATCAACCTAAATTTGGTTCAATTTTTGTTTTCGCCTGTTTGGTTTATTCAAATGGATTTACAATCATTTTAATCCAACAAATTAACACTCGTTTGGGTTAATTTAGTAACAATGAAACCAGATTATGGATACTGTTGATATTGATTGTATCTAATTATAATCTATACTCTTGTTTACCAAAAAAAAAGTGAAAAGGATCCAAGGATGCTGATAAGATGATACAGATTAGAAGATGTTACTCATTCTTTCGTTAATCTTATCCAGATTAATTGTATTTGGATTGTAATTTGTGTGTGTGTGGATAGAGAGAAACAAGGCCAAGTTCAGATTCATCCGAATCACAATTAACTTAAATTGTTTTAGGAAAAACAATTTCAACTAATTAGCAAGCAGCTTTTGGTTTACCCTGAAACATTTGGAGATGGACAAGAATGAGAGATATTCAAAATTTTTCCTTCTAATTCTGAACATTCTGAACGATTAGTGAATCTTTCCCGAACAATGTAAGTCAAGTTAATTATAAGCTTTTAATCGTTATCATTAATTATCTCAATGAATATTTCAGGCCGACAAAACCGCTTATTCACTTAACCTTCACTGAGAAAGTCGAAAGATGTAAAAATGATTGACTCTGGATTGGAAAAGATTGGAATTGATTGTGATGGTTAATCAAAGTGAAAATGGTCTAATTTTGGGTGGAAAATAAGTTCAATATTCAAATGAGTGAAATAGAATCGAGGTCAATCAAAGGATTATTCATAAAGAAAACAATACATGGACTGATTTCTGGACGGACAGTTGATTTGAATCATCTTTACATTGAAAAATTAACAATAATCAATAACTGTAAACTCGTTGTGTTAATGAAATGATTAACAATGAGGAGATTCAGAGCTTCAAAATCATCAAAGTAAATTGTTTTTTATTTTGTTCGAAATTGATTCAAGTTAATGATTGTTGTTTTTGATTGATTATTGATGGTCAATCAAGTTATGATTATAATGGTAAGTAATTTATTACAATTCTTATTTTTAAACTTTGCTCAGGTTCATGACATTTTCTCATATTCTGCAATTTTTCTGTTTTCTATTGAAAAAATTAACCTTTTCTTCACTATTATTATCATTATTCATGTAACAAGCACAATCATCATGAAAGAATTGGTTTTACTTTGGTTAACGATAATTGTCACAATGAATGGTCAAATTAATCTACAATAGGGACGATGGAAATGATGATAATCAATATTTCAATTCGGTGATAGCGAAAAGTACTAATCATAAGAAGACTATTGATGGAAACTATTGTTAATCATGTTGATGGAATAAACAATTGGAAAGACCAGCCCAATTGACCCTGTTCAATATGAGATGTAAATTAGAAACACGATTAGATGATGATGATTATGAATCTTATTCTTCTTGGAAAACTCATTTCTTCAAATAATTATGAGAAGATGATGATTTGTTTACCTGTAGAAATCTGCAATCTCACCATTGTCCTAAATCCATGAACAATATGAGAAAACAAGAGATTTAATTTTCCAACAAATATTCCGAAAAAAAAAGAGTAACAATAACAATCATCAGATGACAATTGAATCAACTAATGGATTATAAATATTACATAAAGTTATAGTCCAAGGAGAATGAAATTGCAAGCTGATTACATTAAGGATAAGCGATTTGACGATGAGCGAAATGATTAAGATGATGATTATGATTAAGAATCAGATAATCATCAGGTAAACCGAATGAGCTGAAAATGATGAAAAACAAAATACAACACGAAAGTTATTCAGGTAAGGAAAATGCATTAAACTTATAATATGAATTTTTCTCATTCTTTTCTTTTGTTTTTCTCATTCTCGTGTGAAGTTCACTAACTACGAATTCTTCTAACCATGCAACCTCTAATTCTGATTGGAAAATGGCCTTATATTATTATCGAAACGATAGAATCACTTCAATCTTCATCTTCTCACTCTAATCATCACTTTCTCTCTTCTGTTGATTACTTGTTTCGTCCTCATCATCATCTTAATTTTATCATTCTCTCTACTCAATCTAATAGCTACTCTTTAATAACAACAACAACAACAACATGGTAATTAAATGGTTAATAGTTATTTATGTTTTTCTCCTTAAAAGTTAATTTAATTATTTTGCTTTCAATTTTCTTTTCCACTTTCCAACAATTAACAGGCTCATCAATTTGATCATTGGAACATTTCTTATTGAAACAACTCCATTTTCGTATTAATCAAATTTGTCCAAACGATTAAGGTTGATTCTATTATTAGTAAGTATTAGTAGCGATTAATTAAATTTGATTGTCTGTAAATTACATTGATTTTTTCATCATCCTGGACAATTGGACTACATTCATTGAATCTTAATCACAATTGAAAAGTTAGATCATTGTATTTAATGGTGACTAGTATCATTGTTGATGCTTAATTTGATTCTAAATTGTCTGTTAATTTTTTCTCCATCATATTTGTACAGCAATTTGTTGATTTATTTCAACTAATCGACTATACAATCTAATTTTCTGGCCTTTTATTGTCCAATTTTTTTTCGCTTTTCTTATAATTGGTTTCATATCATCATGATCGTTACAATTGTTACAATTAGATTAAATTTGATTACAAAATTTGTGAAAATTAACAATTGATGAAGCAATTTAACATTAACATTATTGCAAAACTTTGATCAATGAGACTGATGATTAAAGCTAATCAAAATTGGACAAATTAAGGCTGGACAATCAAGAAAAGTAATCACAAATAACAATTATTATTAGGTAAGTAATTACCAGTCCATTTAATTTTTATTATTCAACCAATTAACTACAATTAAATTATATTTTTTTTCTTACTACTGATAGGTTGGCTTAATTGTAATCCCATTTGATCATAAATTGTACTACTACTACTCAGTGTTGACCATGAAAATTACATGAACAATTTAAAGTATTAATCAAAAAGCCAATTGGATGGATTGTAAAGCCTTAAAGGAGAGGAATTAAATTTAATCATTACAACAATAACCTAAACAATCAACACCAATATTTTAAATAGTAAAGGAGGACAAATATACAAATTAAAAAAAGGCTTAATTGTTGTGTATTATTAAAAGATACACTTGACAACGGAAGAAAGGAAAGGAAACACCACAACAATTAGAATCACAATTAAGCTAACCTCATATTGAAGCGGCAAAAAACTGACCTTTACCAAAGTAATTAATAATTTAAGTGATTGGAGTAAGAAAGAAAAACGGATTTACCGGTTAATTGTTGTAATTAAGCTTAGTATCAATACTAGCGAGGTTAATCATTTATATTAATCATTTGTCCTTTAATTATGAATGGACATTATTTGTTCAAGTGATAATATTATTATTAATTAACATTAATCACACAATTAACCGTTGAGTGACCAAGTAAAAATGTCAAATGATTAAAAGGTTGATTAAAACGTGATTAGAATTAAATTGTAATGATATGTAAATATTGGGTTAAATTGTCAACGGAAAACAGACCAATTCCAGGTAAATTATTATCACAATTTAATTGTGATTAGAATCATTTTGATTAACTTATAATTTGCTTTTTGTTCAAATTGTTGGTTTTCAATCAACAACTTCAATATGATTGTGATTATCATTTTGGAGATGATTAGTTGATTATACAAAACAATGAATCAAATTAAGTTGAGACTGTTAAATTGTGAAAATTATATTCGTGATTAACTAAACAAATCATAATGATAACAATTTAAAATTTATCTCATCTTTTTTACTTTCACGTTTAATATTTAATTAAAATTGATTGTAAATCAACAAAAGTGATATCAACAGATTAACAATCAAGTAATAAACAATAGTAATCAAATTGACAGGCAATAAATTACAAACATGATTACAATTAGTAAATTGTTGATTATTAAATCATCATCATGGTCAACTGATTAACTGATTACAATTAACTTCATCATTTTTTTTTCAAACATTTGATTAACTTTGACCTAAACTTTAATCATTTGAGTGTTAAATTGTTAACAATTTGATGAGCCTTTTACTTTCACCTTGATTGTCAATCTGATTGATTTTAATTCAATTTCATTTTTAATTGTTTCTCACTTATTGACAATTTAAAGTTTCTATTATTCGAGTGTTTTATGATTAAGACAATGATTAGAATTGATTGTCACTAACAAAATGTTTCTCTTGTTAACTTTTTTTCCCCTTTCAATTAGGAAGTTTATTTTTTTTTCTCCAACAATTAAAGTTGATTATCTTTCGCGTTAATTATAATTAGTATTTCGTTGAGATTATTATTCATATTGTGAGAAAAGTGTCAAGGATAATCTTCTTCGTTTCCTCAATCAAATTTTAATTGTTGTCTCATGTTTGGTTATATTTTTTTATACTTCTTTTCATTTTGCAATTAATTTTTGATTATAATCAAGTTTAATTGGACATCAAATCTATTTAAATCGGTTAGTTACCAAAGTGAGTTGATTTGATTGTGTCGTAACAAGTTGATTGTTAATTTTGAATTTCACATTTGCAACTTGTGTTTGTATGTGAAATAACATTTTAAATGGTCAATTGTGATTTAAATTATTGGTGGTTATATCAATTTAATCAAATTGATTAATTGATTTGTTTCCAATAAAAGTTATTCTCTGTGTTGTAAATTGTAATCAAAGAGAAGTTTTAATTTTCCCAATGAGTCAAGTATTTTGTTTTGATTTTGGTACAAAAATTACATCACAATTCATGAGAGTGTTGGTGTTTGATGTGGTTTGTTTTGGGAGAGAAAAGAAAATTTCATTCTTTGATTAAGAGAGATGAAATTTTCTTTTCTTTGTACAAAATCAATGAATTGATGTAATAAATTTTTGTGCCCACATCAAGTGCTCACAATGAAAGCAGATTTATAGCAAAGTTTGATTCTAATCGGCTTTAGATTCTGGAATGGCTTCTGTATCGGTATTTTTACTTTTCTCTTTAGAATTGGTTTCGAATGAATCTTCACCAGCTTCATCGGCTTCTTCATCATCGTCACCCTCTTCACCTTCGACCTCATCCTCTTCATCTTCGACAATCTCTTCGACATCTTCTTCATCATCTTCCTCATCGTCACCTAAAGAATAGAAGAAAAAACAAGAGAAATTAATAATTAATAATGGATTAAAAGAAAACTAGAGGGCGCATTCGATAGAATAAAAATCTCGTTCTAACTATTCTTTTCTTTTCAAGACCATCAACCGAAATAATTAAAGCAAAAGCTCATTTTGTGTTAGGTACAATGAAATCTTCTAGAGGTTATGCTAACTCTCTCCAGGTAACAAAATCATACAAGATGATTGTAGATAAGTGACATCTATTGATTGTTATATTTTAACAAAAAATACCAATACTTGGGTAGATGACATGGAGATTCAAGCCAAAGGCCTGAAGATGTCACTTATTTAAAAAGCGAAATAGAGAAATAGGAGAGTGAAGGGTGTGTATAGAAAATTAACATTTGTGGAGGGAAAAACTATTTGGACAAAGCTTTTTGTCGGACAGAATGAAAAAAGAATCTTGACAATTTTAAAGACTAATTTGATAATCTTTTATATCTTACCTTCCTCATCGTCGTCATCATCGTCATCATCATCATCTTCATCATCTTCGGCTTCTTCTTCTTCGTCATCATCATCATCATCATCACACTCTGCTTCATCACAAGGTTTGGCTTCTGTCTTTAAACGTTTAGCCGGTGGGTGTTCTTTTCCATCAACCTCTGCGGATTCTCCATTTTTACCAATGTTGGCATCGGCAACATCATCATCTGAACCTGGTTCAAAGTCATTGTCATTCTCCTCCTTTTATAAAAAAAAGTAAAGAAAATGTACAAGTTGAAAAGACAACTACAAAAAGGCAATATTATAGGAGAAGAAAGGAAGATAAAGGGAGGGAAGTGAAACAGGTAATCAGAGAAAGAGAGAAAAAAAGAGACAGAAGAGAACAAACCAAACAAAAGAGGAAAGAGGGAAAAGAAAGACAAAAAACTTTTTAAATTTAAATGGCGCACAACCATCTTACCTCAACGAAACCTCCATAGGTTTTCTTGTAAAATTCATCATCTTCTTGTTTACTGTTGGCGATTTCGCTCATTTTTGATCCAGCATTTGGACGACGTGACCTGTTTGATGCGATTGACATGATGAATGTTCTTTAAATGGAAAGAAATACTAAAGATGAAACTTTAAAACCAACCAAATCAGTCCCAAGAAAAAATCCAGATCACAAAAAAAAAGAATAGAATTTGGATAAAAAAAAAAAGAGAATAATTAATTCACAATTTAAAAGGTGGCATAGGAAAAAAAAGAAAAAGGGAAATAAGAAAAATAAGAAAAATAGACACAGAACAGAGACAAGAAATCAAAAGAGAAAAGAATTAAATAAGTCAGAGAAAGAAAAGAAAAGAAAAATGAATCAATCCAATAATCACCTAAATGAGTTAAACGAAATGGATGAAGGTTAATCTGTTGACAATAAATACAAGGGTAAACAATTAAAACAAAATTTAATCAATTTGATTTAATTAAAAGATCCAAAGGAACATTAAATTTTAAAAGTGAAGAGGAAAAAAAATGCTTCCATTCCGGTAACAGTAGAACACGAATTCGAACAGTGGTGCCATCTGTTGGTGCCGAATAGAATTTCGCACAGATTGGCGGTTAAAAAGATTCTATTCTTTTTTATTGTTAATCAGATTAATTGTTGTTTCTATTTTTTGTCTTCGCTTGTGACAATCTAATTTCTTTATCTAATTTAATCTTAATTGTTGTAGTTGTTTTTAATTTAATTTTTATCTCTCCATTTGGAGAAAAGGTTAACATGTTGATCTCAAGTAAATGGAATAAGTTACACATAAGATTGTGTAATCATCTTAAATTAATCACATTTTCTAATTACATTTTTATTGGTGATGACAAAGTGACTCTTTTTTATTTCTTGTCTTTCTGTTTAACCTTTCATCTTGTCGCTCTCAAGTCTATGTGAATAAATGGCTTTACCTTAAAGCTTTAGCTCTATCTTATTGGAGATTAATGTGTTATCTTAATCTGATTATTAAATATCAGTGTGAATCCATTGTAAATATTAATTGTTTTATCAATTGTCTCTCTCTCGCTCTCTCCCTCTGATTGTTTGTCTTTCTTTTTCTCTCTCTCTTTAGCTTCTCATCTTCCTGGTGGCGCCGTCTAAAAATTGAATAAATTTGGATCGTCAAGTTTTCTCGATGGAATTGTTGTCAATGTAAATATACAAATAATCTTGTAAATTATTTTTTACTACAATTTGTTGACATATTAACCACCTCATCGTTTTCTCCATTGTATCAAATAATTGTGATATTTTCTGTAAATCATCAACATCAACAACAACAACCAGCAACTTTAAAGTAACGACGACACAAAAGTACAACTTCAACTATAATTTTCTAATTTCGATCATCATATCGATAGATTTATATATATATTAAGTTTTTAATCAACGTTCCATCAAATTCTAATCAACCATGTCCATGTTAGAGACTGACTTTTATCAACCGCCCATGAACGAGGAACGGAAACCGGATATTCTTGAAAGATTAGCTAAAATTCCTGCAATGGGAATATTATTTGCAGTTATCGCTTCCATTTTGTTTGCGACTGGGACACTTTGTGCGAAATTGGTTAGCACAGTCGATGCTGTTGAAACCGTTCTTTTCAGGTTAGTAGACAAAATTTTCAAATTCTAATCTAATCACTGATTAATTTCTCGATTAATATCATTACAATAATCTCCTTGAATTTCATCATTTCCCTCTCTCTCTCTCGCTCAAATCTTGACCCTCGAATAGCCCTCACATATATTAGTCTTGAAATCCTATTTTAATATGAAAAAAAATCAAAATTAAATCAAAAAGTTGATTGAAATAATTTCCCAATCAACAATTGTCAACATTGATTTTGTCTAATTGTTTCTGTCCATGTAAACATAATCTCTTTCACCCTTTGGCAACAACGATAGTAATTAATTAATGAAAATCAAATCTCAAACTTGACAAGACACTCGACTAATTAATCATGATGATTTATAGATTTTTAATTGTTCATCTGTATCATTTACCTTTCCAAACACAATGATCAACTTTTTCTTTGATTTATATCTATCAAATCATTTTAATCAAAAATTAACCGATTGTTACAAGTTGATAGTTTAATTGTAATTTCAAGATATAATTTTCGTCATGTTAATTAATATTTTTATATCGTTCAATCAACCAAATACTCAGGTTAATCGCTAGTATTAATTATCTAATTAAATCTAATCATTAGTGTTGGTACAAGTGTATTAATAATATTTATATGAGTAAATAAGATTTAATTTGATTTAAGATTAACTTTTCTTAATTTTATTTACTCCATCATATAGATTTTGTTGTTTATTTGATTTGGGATAAATTTTCAATCAGTTAATCAAATTAATACTTTATATTGACGTAAAAAAAAATTAAAAGGTGCAAACAATCAATTGATTAATTGTTAACCATTAATTGATTATCAATTATAAGCAAACAATCAACATATTGATTTGTTTCAAGAATCATCATTGTTACTGTTTAAAGTAAACTAATTTAGTTGTTTACCTTTAAATTATCTTGATTAGTTAATTATATGAGTATTAGGTAAGAAAACACAATCAACTGAGTAAATAATAGTAAATTGATAATCTTATTTTAATCACTTCTACTAATTTTTATACTTACACTAAATTGTTTTGATTAGGATTACATTTAATTACATAAAGTTACACATTCTTATTGTTTATCATTTCCTTTAATTAACATTATTATTTTATTAGTTTCAATTTTATTACTTTTAAATTACTCTTGATGATAGGCCTGATGATGACGCTAATTATGACGGTAATGATGATAAAAATTGACAATTAATTAACTTCTACTACTGAATTAAAACAATTACACTTCGACAATCAACAAATTAAGGATGAGTAATGATGAGACTCTTAAGATAATAAGATTTTTAATTATGATTAGTGGATAACAGAAAATGATAGCAAATTGTTGAAACAATTTAATCTTTTAATTGAGTTTGATCAAACAAGGATAAACTGTCACAAACTGGCCATTGTCCGAGCTAATTAACTCTATAATTAGGCTAATTTTTCCCCCATTTTTTGTTTATTTGTTAAGAAAAATAATTATTCTAACTGTTAACCCATTCAATTAGAATTGATTACTGATTATTTTAATCACCATAACCATCATCAAAACAAATTAAGATAAATATTGATTATAATCAATACTAACCAATGTTTAATTCATTATATAACCTCCCAGCTGATGAGTTAATCAATTGATATTACAATTGTTAATTAGCCGGTTAGTGTTACAGATTAGCAAAGACATTTTAATTGTCACCAATTATAAGGGTTATCAAAAATTATTTATTAACCTGATGAATTTTTGTTGATCAAATTGATTGTAAACAATAACAAGTCCTTAATTACCTTAACTCCTGGGGTTTTCCTAATTAAATAATTAACTAATTCAATGCAACATTGATTGTTACTCTTCATCTTGATTCAATTGTTATTACTCTTTTTTTTTAACCCGGTAAAAACCAGTAACTTTTGAATTAACAATTAACTAACAATACATAAATTAATATTAAACTAACCATAAGAATCTACCTTCAATATGATAACAATTAACAATCAATACTAAACATGATCATTAATTGTTGTCTTTATCATTTTGTAATCAATTTAGCTGTAATTATCTATTTTTTTACTTGTTTTTCTTGATCATTTTGATGAATAACAAACACTTTATGGAAAAACCTTTTATTTTCTTGATCAAACATTAACAATTATCAAATTAAACGTATTACAATTAGATTATAAATCCAATCACTTTCACAATCAGAAAATTAACCAATAGTTATCACAATCAGTGTTGACAATCAATCAACTTTGATTCTGTCTCTATTTACCTAAAGAAATGAAAACAATTGCACAATCAATCAGATACGATAAATCAGTTCGGAGATGAACAATCTAACTCCACTAATTATATTCTAATACAATTAGATTATTGATTATTGTGTTAATCAACATGTTCCCTTTGTTTCCATGATTATATAAGTTTACACAATTAATTCAACTTGAATTTTAATCATTTTTCTATGTTTTTCTTTGTTTTCCAATCAGGTCGATAGTTCAAAGTATAATCTACACGACTGTGGTCATCACGTACCGAGAACGTCTCGCCGTCCCTCGTGGTGAACGGATGCCGTTGGTGGCTCGATGTGTATGTGGCTTCATCACCGCCTGTTGTAATTACTACGCAATCCAATTTATCTCATTAGGTGATCAATCAACAATATCGTTCTCATCTCCGGTATTTGTTTCCCTGTTTGCGTGTATCTTTTTGGGTGAAGCTTGTGGCCTAGTTCAGGCCTTTTCAGCTTTATTGACGATCAGTGGTGTGGTCATGATATGTAAACCACCATTTATTTTTGGAGGTGAATCAAATTTCGATACAAAATGGGGTATTGGTGTTGGAACGGCTTTGGCTGGTTCGTTAACTCGAGCTGTAAATGTCATTTGTCTTCGTCGAATGCGTCAAACACCCTCATCAGTGGTCATTTTCTACTTTTCAGTGTCCGGTATTCTTCAATCATTGATTCTTCTTCTCATTATTGGTGACCTTAAAGTTCCCGGAACTCTAAATGATAGTTTAATGTTAATCGCTGTCGGTATAACTACGGCCGCAGGTCAATTTTTCCAAACGGTGGCACTTAAAATTGAAGAAGCTGGACCCGTTTCTATGACTCGAACTCTTGACATTGTCATGTCTTTCGTTTATCAAGTGACCTTACTCAATGAGTCCGTTGAGTGGACCGATCTTTCTGGTGCCAGTATTGTTTGCTGTTCGGTTATCATGGTTGGCCTTCATAAATGGTACCTTAAGCGACCCGAAACATTCAAGAAATTTCTTCCCAAACGTTTATCAGCTAAAATATCTTCGTCAATCAATTCAACAATTAGTCCAAATCATTCAACTTCAATAGTTCCTCCTGAAGATAAGCGTATCAGTTATTTATCAACAACTCAAGGGCCCACATTCACCGTTGGAATTAAAAAATGAAAATGATTCGATCAACAAAACTACAAGTCTCATTGATTGAACAATTAAGAAACCGAGTTTCAATTGTCTCAATCAAAATTAAACTCTTACAATTGGATCAGCATCATCATAATTATTTACCTCCATTGATCAACATGTTAATTATTATACATTCCTCATCGACGCCATTTTTTAAATCTCCTTCTATTTGCTTAATCAAAAGCAAACCTTTTAAAACAATATATTGATATTTTAATCACAATTAACTAGTCCCAACTAAGGAAATCAATCAAGTGATGGACTAATAATATTATTACATTCACCTACAATTAGCTTAAATTGTCATTGTTATTTATTATACATTTTAATACAATGAAATGCTAATTAATCAACCAAATTGGCTCAGTTGATTGAGCTTACAAATCATTATTATTATTATTATCTAAGATATTTAATTATTTTTACCATTATAAAATATTTAATACAATCAGACTTTGCTTCTTGCAATTAATATAATTGCAAGTACAATAAACATAAAGAAACGATGAAATTTATCAAAAATGAAAACTAATTGAATCAATTGTATCGCTTAATTATTTCAAAGCTAATCAACCAAAAAAAAAATCACATCAAGTGCCATCTAATTAACGATAATTTAAACCAGAAAATAAAGAAATCAGCCAATGTGTACATTGAATTGTCTTTTTATTATTAATCATCACCTTTAATTGTTTACATGAAATTGAAGTTTTCAAATTGATTGTTGATCAAAAAAGATCATTGATTTCACGATCGCTTTTAAATACTGTTGTAATTGGACTACAATTCCAATCGAAACGATCACCCGCTAATTGCGACAATTTATCAACATGATCAAAACAATTAGTCGATTGTTCATCAAGCTGCTCACTAATTATCTCATCATCATCTTCATTTGAATCGGTTTCGGTGTCGAGAGAACCATGTTTGTTAAATGATTCCATTAAATTGTCTCGGCGATTCTCAGGAATCGCTCTCATGGATAAGGATGATAACGGTAATGAGGAAGAAGATGAAGATGGTGACAGAGAAGAAGAGGTTTCCTTAATTGCTGTAGAATCACAATTAGCGATGAAAATTGTCGCAGTTTCGTCCATCTCCTTATTAACTTTGGGCTTACGTTTCTTTCTGATCACAATTTCGGTTTCAAGCTCTTCAAGTGACCTCCGTGAACGGAATACAAAAGCTTCCGCCTTGACCAGGGAAAGTGATGGTCTCCTGATTGAAATGGCTACTTCATTATCTGATTCAATAGATTCATCATCATTATCATCATTTTCTTCATTGGAATTGCATCTACTAATTTCTCTACTATTTATGTTGCTATTATCATCATTATCTTCATCTTCATCTTTATCATAATCATAATTATCACTGATTAACTTTGATTCATTGATTTCTGAAGATGAAAGTGTTGAGATAAATTCAGTTGATTCAGTTGATTCAACACTCTCTGAATGAACTGACGACCAAACCTGATGATTATGAGCTTTTGATGATGATAATAGCAAAGATGATGATGATAATTTCTCATCTCTAATTTTTTCAATTCTACTCCATACCTGTTGATTTAATTTGTTGTGTTTTCATCATCATCATCATTAACAACATCATCATCATCAACGTTGTCATCATTTTCACTTTCGAGTCCAATTGTTGTCTCAATAATTGATTCATCTTCATTGGTTTGACCAATGAAACTTTCATCAACTGATTCAATACTTTCAGTAATTGTTGATGACCAACATGATTTAGTTAATGATAGAGTTGTTGTTGATTCTGATTCACATGATTTGATTAGAGATGAAATTGGTGATTGTTGGATAGGAGATTCAGATTGTTCAATATTTGAACAATTTTCGTTTGTTTCTGAGTTGGAATCATTTTCCTTAGATTGATCATCAATCAATGATGATGATAGAGCAGAAATTAATTGTTCCTCTTCAAAGAAACCACCCTCACCTTCCTGATCATCGAAATCATCACCATCATCGATTTCAATGATTCTTGATCGGACTTTACGAGTCACAATCGATTCCGTGTGTGTTTCCATCCGTCTTGCTGATCGATTAACAACAATTAACGATCCACCTTCTCCATCATCAACTCTATCATCAACAAAACTTTCGGTGATTTGTTGATCCGATAACCATTTCGAGGACGAAGCCTCAATCACTGCCGAGGTTACACCAACCTTTGAATTTAAATCGCCACAAGAATCACCACCTAATTCACAATCAGCGTCACCACTCACAAGAGCAACCGATGACCAGGCCACTTTTTCCGCCACCGATTCAACCTTTCTCCTTGATGATGACCAACCAGCAATTAACTCGGAATCACATTCAATAAGTTGATCTTTATCATCAGCATCTAATTGTTCACATTGATCCATGTTGACCAAATAATCAAATATCAAAAGTTATTATCTTAAAATTAACAATATTGAAAACAGATTAACAAACGATTGAAATTGTAACCAATCAACCAAACCACTGACGTTACAATCATTCAACAATTAACTAATTCAAATGATAATCATGAGTAAATTGTTGCAGTTAATCTGGAGGAACGATAATTATAAAAAGATTTTGTTGAATTGATTCCAAATGTTTGGAAACGACAACAAATGAGAAACTTTTATTTTCTCAGTCTTCATGATGATCATGCTCTTCATCCTCATCTTCATCCTCATCTTCATCCTCATCCTCATCATTTCTGTCAAAATTAAATAGATTGTTCAACATTGAACTCATTCCTTGATCGTTATTACCTTTTAATCCTCAATCTTCATTATCATCTTAATCCTATTCTTAGGATTTAAAATGTAAATGAAGCAAAAAAATTATTGTTTCCGTCGAGATGAAATTTTTTAATCTTAATCTGATGACGGATTCAATTCTTGTTACTGAATTTATCTTTTCCCCTTCATCATGATTAACATGGTGATTTCCATGTTACATTACAACAATTAGAGTTTAAAAAATTGTTGAACACTTTCAAATGTTCACAAATCATGATGATAATCAAAAAGTTTAACATTCTTGATTATTGTTACTATTGTCATCCTATATAAAAGTATTTAATTTGTATGTGATGCTAATAAAGTATAATTAACCTTGGACTTTAAATTGCGACAATTAACTTGCAGAGGTAATTAAAATTTTCTTGTCATAATGTTGAGCTGATCAACGTAACAGTAAATTGCTCCGCTAATTGTTGGTGTCAACATTTTAACCTTTAAATCAAATCCTTGTTTCAAATTTACTTTTTATTGTTTTATGGCCAACAGGTTATGATTCATGTTTGTTGATTATAACAATTTAATTTGATCATTACCATATTTAAACGACAATTTTCAGCCTTGACTTGAATGTAAAATTGTCAACCTGAATTCCAATTGATTCCCCATGAAATAATTATCGTTACAGATTCCTAACATTTTCTTTGGATTGATTTTGAGTTGTTATGATTTTTGCTGGAAAATGATTTGATTGTCACTTTGATTTTCTCATTAAAATTGCTCATTTTCTTGGGAATTTTCTTATTATTCACAATTAATTTAGGCCAAGGGTTTGTCCTCATTGTTTCCAATCCACTTAACATCACATCAGGGTGAGAGAATCTTAATTTAGTTCCATTGAAAATTCAATCATTTTATTTTGGCAGCTATTCAACATTTTCCGTCTTTGTCAGTATATTCACTGGATCCACAATTAACCAGGTTGAAAAGTAAATTAATTATCATTGATACAATAATCGTTTTTTGGCTGAACTTGCATTCTCATCTGTTTTCAACTGTTATCATGATTATCAACAAAGAATTGACTAGACTCAGCTAAATGAATGATGTTGTTACTGTTATGGCTCATTAGTCTTCAAAGTCAAGATCATGTTGATTTAGATGATAATAGTTGTTGTTGTTGATGATGATGATGAAGATGATGAAGATATGTAAACTTGTCATAATCAACTCAATGTTTCTAAATTTTCACAAAACACGTTTGAATTTCATGAACACCTCATGAAGTTTTGTCACTTGATTGTAAAGTTTGGTGTTGCAATTGTACTTGTTGCTGTTCTGGTTGGTTAATAGTGACAGTGTTAGATTGTAATAAAGATTGAGTTTTGAGTTGTTGAGTTGATACTGGTGTTGGTATTGGTGTTGGTGTTGGTGTTGGTGTTGGTGTTGGTGTTGATGTTGATGTTGATGTTGATGTTGGTATTGAGCTTGGTGCTGTTTGGGTTGGTGTTTGGGTTAATACTTGGGTTGGTTTTACTGGAAGTGTTGGATTAGTTGTTGACTGAGATGAAATCTGAGCTTGAGGTATTGATGTCATTTGTTGTGCTTGCAAAAGTTTTTGTTGTTGTTGTTTCAACTGTTGTTGGTGTTGAAGTTGCATTTGCAATTGTTGTAACTGTTGTTGTTGGTGTTGGACAAGTTGAGCTGAGTTTATCAAATGAGGTTGGTTTTCTTTCTCCATGCTAACCATTCAGCGACATCAGGTTGTTTAGGATCTCCTAGTAGCTCTAATTGTTGACAATAAGCTTCTCTGAGAGCTTTAAAAGTATATCCGGAAGCGAATGGCATTTGAATGACAGGATCGTAATATCGAGCTTTCAATCCAGAAATTGGACAAACTGGAGTTGTAACTGGAACTGGAGGTTTTACATTTTTCTTAAAATATTTAGAAAAAGTTTCTTCATCGGTAAAGGTAATAAAATTTCGAGAAAACCTTTTGTCAGTTTCTTTTACTTCTCCATTTTCGGTTGATTCTATTAAAGGCATTGATGTTGATCGATATATAATTCTGTCTTCTCTGTCAACTTCTTTAACCACTTTACTTTTTTGCGCTTTCTCCAGTTCCAATTTACGATATTTTTCGAGGCTTTTCAAGTTTATTTGCTCAGTTAATTTTGCTTCTTTAAGTAACTCTTCTTGTGTCAATTTACGCCAACTTGCATGGTTTTTGAAATTTTTCTTCTTGGCTGCTGCTTTTTTCCTTGCCTCAGAATCCAATTTAACTCTAAGCGCTGTTTCTTCAGATTTAAGTTTAGTTGAAGCTCGAACAGATTTGACACCAGTTAAATTTTCTATCTTTTCAGATTCCTTTACAGTAACAGGTTGTTTCTTTGGAGTTGATGGAGCTTTCTTAATTTGTACCTTCTCTTTAGGTGGTTCCTTGTAAGATTTAGTAACAACTCTTCGTGTTCTTTTGGTTTGAGGCTCTTCATCTTCTTCAACAGGTTCGTCATTCTCATCGATATCAAAATCGGAATCAACAACATCATCATCAGATTCTTCTGGTTGATATTCATTATCCTCCTCTTCCTACAAAAAGAGATACAATACAAAATCAAGTTAATTGAAATTCTTTTCTACAATTAAATCAAATTAAAAGTCACTTTACCTCAATGAAACCACCATAAGTTTGCTTATAAAAATCATCAGTTTCTGTATTGCTGTTGACCATTTCATTCATTTTTGATCCAGCATTTGGACGACGTGATCTATTTGATGCAAGAGACATTCTCGACTATTTTGATAAGAGACTTGTCAACTGTGATAAAAGTAAAAAATTAACTTCAATAAATCAGGAACAATAGACAAAAATGAGAAAATTACAATTCGAGAAAAATAAACATTCAAAAAAAAGAAAACAAAAAAAAAGAAACGAATGTGGTGACATCTGTTGTCGCCGAAAATAGTTTGTTACTAGTAAGCGGGTAAAAAGATTATTTCATTTTCATGTTCAATTGAAAAAGTTGATTAATTTACTTTTTTGTTTATTTTTTTTTCATCTCTTGAGTCTAAAATTTGGTACATTTAGTTAACAGAAAGAACAATTTACTAGGAATTTATAATTTCGACTGGACACTTAAGGGATCTGGTCCAATGTATTTTTCACCAATCAAATGGGCAAGAAGTTCAATTCGATCAGAGCCAAATAATAATATTGGACCGTCAGGTGAATGGACAACTGTTGATGGAGCACCGAAAGCACCAAATCCAAGAGCATCTTTGGTGTTGGAAATCAATTTTGCCTTAAATTGTGGTTTTTCACATTGAATAATAATTTCGTTCAATGTGGACTCATCAATTCCAGCAGCTTTCCCTGCTTCAAGCCAATCCTTTGGCGATGAAATCTCAAGACCTGGATTATTGGTGAAAACCCGTTTGAATATTTGTCTAGATAAATTTTCGGTCGCTTTGGATTGGGTAAGTGCATCAGCTGCACAAAGAAACTTGAGAGCCGGAGTTGAACCAGAACCAAAAGCTAGTTCCAAAAAATTACTCGGTGTACCAAAAGGAATCTGTAAACAACAATAGCAACAAATCAAATTAAAGACTTGAAGGTAAGGACATTTAAGGGTAAGTGTACTGGTAAACACTTGAATTATAATCAATATTGTACTATAATTATTGTGGTGAAAAAAAAACCAAATATAATCTACTAATCAACTCGATGTTTTCCTTAACAGTTAAACTCACATTGGACATTTTTGAAATCCTATTTAAATCGTGGCTCAAGTAGGCAGCTTTTCTTGGCACTGTCATCGGAGCCTTGTTATCAGCTTCTTTGAAAATATGAAATATTGAACAAGGTTTTAATTGTAGATCCATTTTGGTCCAGATTTTATTGTATCTGGTCATCAATTCAAAACCAATGTAAGAATAAGGTGAGAGAACATCATAGAAAAAGGTAACGGGAAACTTAGTCAGTGCCATGGAACGAATTCAATTAGAATGGCAAATATCAAATGAGAAACTAATTAACAAAAAAAATGTAAACAAAGTGGAAAAAGAAAATCAAATTAACTAAATGAACAAAAAAAGAAAAAAAAATTTTCTTTTTATTTCAAAATTCGACCGCTAGTTGGCAGGAGAATCGCGACTGTTTACATTTTCTTGTTTTCGTTTTTTATTTATCACATTTCACTTTAATCAACAACAATGAAACAATTTAATTAATTATATTTACACTTTTTATTCTTCTTTTTCTATTTGTTGGTAGCTTGTAATTTTTGCTAATATGAAGTTAACTGGAAAATATATTGATAAGGAAAATTCTGGGTAAGTAAATTCTCTGAAGAAAGAGATTAGTTTTGGTTCTTTAAGATTTTCTCTTTTCTGTTTTTTAATATCTTCTTGTTATTAATTTACTCTGATTTTCTGCTTTGTTTTTTTTTCTTCTTAGATCGGTTGGTTTGATACCTGAAGAGGATGAAGATATGTGGCATGCATATAATCTCATTGAAGCTAATGATTCTGTTAAAGCTTCCACGTTTCGTAAAGTTACACTTGAATCTGCTACAGGAACTGCTGGAAGTAATCGAGTTCGAACAACTTTAACACTAAAAGTAGAATCAACCGAATATGATACTCAGGCTTGCATGGTTCGTGTTAAAGGAAGGAACATTGTGGAAAATCAATTTGTTAAAATGGGACAATATCATACCCTTGATTTGGAATTAAATCGAAAGTTTACTTTAAGTAAAGAGCATTGGGATTCGATTGCTTTAGACCGACTAGAAATGGCCTGTGATCCATCTCATCGGGCCGATTTAGCCGCTGTTGTAATGCAACAAGGATTAGCCAATGTTTGCCTGATAACATCTTCGATGACTCTGACCCGAGCTAAGATAGAAAATAATATTCCAAGAAAAAGGAAAGGTTTATGTTCACAACACGAAAAAGGGATGACAAGATTTTTCGAAAATGTGATGCAGGCCATTTTACGACACATTAATTTCGATGGTTAGTTTAACTTTTTATCTTTTGCTAATAACAATCAATTAGAAAAAAGAATCACAAATATTTATACAACTAACAATTTTAATTTGTCTCTTTCTCTCTCTTCCAGTGGTCAAGTGTATTCTATTAGCGAGTCCTGGTTTTGTTAAGGATCAATTCTTTGAATTTATGGTACAAGAAGCAATTAAACAGGATAACAAGTTGATCATTGAAAATAAGACTAAATTTGTTCTTTGTCATTCATCTTCCGGATTTAAACATAGTTTAAAGGAGATTCTTGTTGACCCATTGATACAAAATCGTTTAGCCGATACAAAAGCAGCGGCTGAAGTGGAAGCATTAGATTCATTTTATTCAATGTTATCATGTGAACCTGATAGAGCTTTTTATGGATTTAAACACGTGGAGAAAGCAAATCAACTACAAGCAATTGAGATTCTACTCATATCTGATCACCTTTTTCGATGTAAAGAACCATTGGTAAGGAAACGATATGTCGCTCTAGTTGACAGCGTTAAAGAGAATGGAGGTGAAGTCAGGTTATTTTCCAGTCTTCACGTTTCTGGAGAACGTAAGTGACTATGAGTCTCTAGAATTTTGTTCATTAACTCATTAAAATTCGATTTCTTTTTTGGTGTTTTTCTCACAGAATTACAACAATTAACCGGAATAGCTGCAATACTGAGATTCCCAATTCCAGACATGGAAGAAGATGATGATTCAGATGATGAAGAGACAAATAATGAGACGAAAAATGGATTCACAGTGAATGAGAATACATGAAATGAAGTTTTCACCTTCACTCAAATTGTCTGTTTAATTTTTTATCATTCTGTGTAAAATATCAACTAATAGTAAGGGAGTAAAAATTAAGGTCCTTTTCCTTTGAGGAGCATAAAAAAATCACGTATTTATTTATGTAGCTGATGAAACCAAGGTGATCACTCGGAAAAGTAATGATATTTATAATTGTTTGTGAATTTTGAAAGGAAAAGAAAAGAAAAACAAAATGTTAATTGCGATGATTTTCATCTAAAATGGTTAAATTTGCTAATCAGAAAGGTTGAAATGGTTGGACCACTGATTGATCACAATGGACGATAAAGGCTCCACTAACTGCATTTAAGGATTTTCCTGACGTCTCATCAATTAGATTGATATCTTCCGTTGAGATTTTACCTTTGGTTAAAAGTGTCTTTGAATCCAGTGATTTACGACTTTTGATTAACATTTTACGACTAAAATTGGCTGATTTTGATTCGTCCAAACGGGAAGAATACAATTTACTTCTTTCCTCATATTCTTTGGCATCATAATTGGTTGTCTCAAATGATGAAATATCGATAACACTTAAGGCCATTCGATGAAGACTTCGATTCCATGATTTAGATTGACGCCGACGATCATCATCACCTTCAAGTGTCGCCGATGTTTCCTCATGATCAATTATTCCCAATCCAGAGGTGGGATCTTTAGATGATGCTGATCGTTCATCAATTAATTGTTTACAAAAACAACAACCCATTTTTGATGAATATGATGATGATTATAAAACACTAATCACTAATTATGTTGATGATGATGGTGGTGAGGATGAAAATGATATTCCTGATGAATGGATGATTTTATAAAACAAAATGAAGGAAATTCTGATGATTAATTAATTGGTGTCAATGGACAACAATAAAGTCAATGGTTGACAAAAGGTGTAAAGCCAAATAAGTACAAGTCAATTTTTGGGGTTGATTGTTAATTGTTCATCGTTGATTTTTTTTTACACAATTAAAGTGTAAACAAGACTAATAATCAAGTAACAAGAAAGACAAACAAACAGTTAATACACAAAGGAATCACTGGAAATACCAATTAGTTACGCCCCTTTGCCATCAAATCACAATCACAATTAACTTGACTACAATCAGTGTAAATCAATATACTTATCATCAATTTTGATTTAATTTAAATTGTTAACAACATCAACAACGCCATTAGGATATAACAATTGTATCCACTTGATCAACGGTTTTAATTTGCTTTTTTTTGTTTGTTATTCAACTTTAATCAACTTTTTCATTGATCATCAATTGGTTAAGTATAACAATTAACAGACTTTTGCAATAGTTTCACAATTAACTAATCAATTACAGTCTCACCTGATGAAAATTATCTTTGAAAATTGATTTAAATTCAATTGGTCTCATATGATATTAATTACTAACATGATTTATTTATATTTTAATCAATTAAGTTTCTTCAGTTGAATTAGATTAAAAACCAATTAGAATAATAATCTTGATACAAATCAATCACAATCAATGAATTCTCATTGATGATCATCAATTTTATTTCTGTCAATTGGAAAATTTTAATTACAATTAACTTGATTACAAAATTAGAAGGAAAAAAAAGAAACTGTTAATTTTGTCACCATTCCAATGACAATTAACATTGAGATTGATTTTGTTGATTGTTATAATCAAAGTGGAAAACTATTGACCCCAGCAAGTAGACAATTAAATATAAGATTAAAAGTAATTACAATTATCATTTAAAATGATGATAATCAAGTCTAATTGTTGCCTAACCAGAGACACACAATGAGAAAGGTAAAAGATACAAAATAAACATTGATCATGTTGGCACTTTGGTAGGACAATTAATTGGAACAATTAAAACCACAAAGACGACGATTAGTGTGATTAGGAAGATAATTAGTAGGAAAATGATGATCATGATGAGAATCCATGTTAATTGTTGAGTAGGAAAATTTTTTCTTCGTTTTCATTTTCACTTTTTTACTCTCTTGCTGATTTGGTTCCTCCTTCCTGTCATCTTAATCATCTATCATCATATGTAAATATAGTGAGTGACCTCAACTTCCGGAATCAAGGGAATCGTAAATTGTTGACGAAAACTTTTTTTTTCTTGTTTGTTCATTTAGATTGATAGAGATGCGATTTTACTTGCGAGTCTCTTGAAATCTTCAATCGACATCGATTCAATTTGCTTGATAAATTGTTCCCTTTCTGTTTCCCTTTTCCTTTTGGCTTCTACTTCCGGTGATGCTGATTTCGCATCTTTTTCATCTGGAACTGTATCAGTTTCGTTTATTGAATCATTATTGTTACTTAGATCAGCTGAACTCGTGGTTGTAACATCATCGGTGTTTCCATTTGGTGACATTGTTGTGACAACATTTTCTATCGATGAAGATGAAGATGATTCTGGTGGTGAGATCGATGTGGAAGATGATGATGAATCTTTATCATCTTTCTCTTTTGATTCAATCTCTTTCTTTTTCTTATCTTCATCTTCTATTGTTTCCAAAGGTCCCATTGTTGTCATCAAACCGGATGAGGAAATATTTTCACCATTATTTATATTTGTCTTTTCGCTTATTTTATCATCACCATCGGATTCTTTGGGTAAATAAGACAGGGAAGATTCTGATTCTGTTGGTCTCTTTTCATCTTCTTCTTTTTTACCTGATTCTATTCCACTTCCGTTTGATCCATTTGGTATTTTAGATTCAGATGGATTCTTATTCTTGTCCTTTTCCGGTTCAACATTTGAACTTTTCAAAAGCTCAGAGGGAGTTAAAGGTTTCTCAGAGGATGAAGATGGTGACAGTTCTGAAGATCCTGAATAAGATGAAGGTTCAACATCCACTGAACTTACAAATGTCGTTGGTAATTCAGTTGTCGTTGTTGATGATGATGATGGTGATGAGGGAGATGATGAAGTTGATTCGTTTGTTACATTGTTATTGTTGCTTTCTTCATTATCTCTTCCATTGTTATCTAAAGTTGTTGGAGACAATGTTGTTGATGTTGTTGTTAGTGTTGTGCTTGTGGTTGTTGTTGTTGTTGTTGTTGTTGGGATTGAATCGTTGGTTGGCTTAGTAGGTCTTGGAAGATGGCGATTGCCACAAGCGGGGTCAGTGTTTTTTGTCACTTCGGTAAAAGTGTTTGGAACTTGAGGTTTTTCATTATCATCGTCGTTTGAAGGTCGTGGTGGAGGGAATACGAAAAAAGGCCAACTAGGAGGTAAAGGGGAAGGTTTCGACTTCTCCCAGAATCGATGGCCAGTTTGGCATTTTCTTCCTCCTTTAGTTCCAGAATCATTTCTACACCCACCGCGATTACCATTACCATAGCTTCCGTTATTATTGTGACCTCCATACCTGTTTCCATTTCCTCTTCGACCGCCGTTGCCTGGTCTTTTGCCGAAATGACGACGAGGATTATGAGGAACCCAACGAGGTTTGTATCGTCTTCGTGAGGGATTGTATGTGGACGATGAAACGGCAAAGGTTGATTCTGGTTCAGAATCTGCGATTGAATTTGGATTTGGATTTGAGGTTGAAGGAGTTGAAGGTGAAGGTTCAGCTGATGGTTGTGCTGGTGCTGGTGGAGGTAAGGCTGGGTTGAAAGGGGGTAAAACTGGAGGTGGAGGTGGGATCATTGGTCTGAATTGGTTTGGTCGATCAAAAAATGGCCTCATAAACGGAGGAGGTTCCAGTGGACTCCATTGTTGGAATGGAGAAGTAACTAAATCAAACAATCGATCAGGATCAAAACCTAAAATGAGAGACAACAAAAATCATAACAATTGAAAGAAAGAATTGAAAAAAATACTCTAATTAACTTCAACAATCAGAGCAAAAATCGATGATACTAATTGGAAATAAGTTAACTAATTACATACCGGGTGGTTGTGGAAATTGAATTGAAGCATCAAGGTAAGGAATTGACATTTGAAACCAAGTCCGTTCATTTCCTTGTCGATCTGAAAAAATCAATTGTAACAATTTACGAACAATTAGTAAAAGAAATCATTTGATTTACTTGTTGCTTCTTTATGAATTATTGATAATCTTAATATCCTCCAATCTAATCAATACAATTTAGTTGTTAGTTTAACAGGTAATAAGTAACAATCAATATCTCTCACTGATTAAATAATTAATCATCTACAATCAATTCCAGCAAACAAATAGATGTTTAAATTATTGATTAGTTGACCATAACTTTTAATTTACTCTTAAAATTGTTAAACACAATTGATTCACAATCAAAGTCTCTAAGTGTATCAATTTTAATTAAAACAAAAAAAATCATAAACATGAACAATTTAATTGATAAATTAAATCATCAAAATTGTTCATTGATTCAAATGAAATCCATTGTGTAATATAAGTTAATTGTTTGGGTGTATTATCATTTACTTAAATACAATAATCGTTAACCATTATTATGATTGATTAATTTGGTTTACTTAATTGTTAGTAAAAAATTAATACTCTATTAACACGATAATCAGGTATCCATATACATCTATGTAATTATCTGATCATTATGATTGTTAATTGTGAGTTTAATTTTCTAAATTAATTGTTATGAGAAAGAAAAAATAGAAACTTAGAACCGAGAATCATGAAATTTTCTTGAAATTCTGAGCTGAATTTCTCATGAACAATTGCTCATCAACTTCCAACGGAATAGATATTGAGTATTTCTTTTCTTTTATGTAGATTAATGTTGATTAGAATAACAATTTATTCAAATTCTATCTATTATAATTATAAAATGGTAATAAGAATTGATTGTCAATTGAATGTCAATCCCAAACTAAATTAAGATAAATTCAAGATCTAAATGTTATATTATTATGGAAATGGGTTTACACCTTAATCCAAGTTTCATCTTATTGAATTTTTACCTTCTCTTCAGGTAAAGAAGATGAAATTTACCTAATATCATGTAGCTTAAGGTGAAGATGAATATATTATTATAATTATTATCATTTCTAGAATGAGAACGAATTGATTTTCTAATTCAAATTGGATAATTAATTTAATTTTAATTCGTTTTTTTGTTAAATCTTTAAATGCGGAAGAAATTTATACAATTAGGGAAATAATAACAATCTTATTTATCAACAATGTCATTGTACTTAAATTACTAATCTAAAGGGTGTGGTAGTGATCATATTAATCAATTTAATGAATCAAGTTAATTGCAAGGTTAATTTTGAGTTGTTAACTTTGATTGTTTGATAGTTGTTGATGTTGTGGTTGAAAGAAAGGATCAAGATGAAGGGCAAAGGTGGACAAAGGTGAGAAATCAAATATCAGGATATGTCATATGTATGAGACGTGGATGAAGATGAAGATGAAGATAAAGATGAGGATGAGGATGAGGATGTTGGTGAATTTTGTAAGAGAAAAATGAAAAAATCAAACAGAAAGTTGACAAAATGAAGGAGATTTTTTGCCGATAAAGTAAAAGATAAACAATAATGATGATGATGATGATACTCATACTCTTTATCATCATCTTCTTTGTCTCCATCATCTTCATCATCGTGATGAAGCCTCAAGGAGCATCTTCTTTGCATCACAAGAAGATGAAGATAAAGAAGGAAAAAAAAAAGTTTCCTCACTGTAAATACTCATGAGACTATTTTTCCTAATAAAATTGACAAGCACAAAGTAAGAGAAAAGATGATGATAATGATGATGATGATTAAGATGAGGATGATAAATATATCTGAATGAGACCCTGATCTACCTGCACAACCATTTTCTCTGTCTCACTTTATCTTCCAAGAGCGAAACGATTCCAATTGAATTGAATTGAATTCTGTTATAATATAACCAAATGATTTTCTTTAACCGGAAAACCTTTTGTCTTTTTCACTTTCAATCTTCATCTTCTATTGTCTTTCAGCATTTCTTATAAACAGATAATAATTTATTACGATAATTTTTAAAGCTTGTTCCTCTTCATCATCAACCATTTACTGACCACTATTTACCCAAACAATTTACATTAACTGACCTTAACTGAATATAAATATATTTATCTACCGTATGAATGGTTAACAATAGACTTTAGTTCTGGAAGAAATAAAAAGCCTCAGGGCATCAGAAGCTAATGTTACACCGGTGAGAGAGAGAGAGAGAGAGTAACTTACTGACCAAAGCAAAAAAAGATGGACTTTGGTTGATAGGGAAGAGAGTGAGATTGTGGATGGTTAAATTTGATTGTCAACAGTTAATTTGATTATTTTATCATGATGATGATGATAGAAAACAATATACACTGAAAACCTTTAATTTGACAATCTAAAAGTTTGATTGTTGAAAGGTTTTACTTTCATCACTTTAGCTTTTTGCTGCCCTCGGGTCAATTTCAGGCTTAACCATTAATTGGATAACAATTATTATCATCATCTCTTTGCCTGTGTTAAATTGTAATTCATCAAATCACCTTAAGCACAATTCATTGTTGTAATAATCATATTAGTCTATTATCAATATAATAGTTAATCTGCTTTGTATTAATATATTATAATATTTTTAATCAACACCGATTGTGATTTTAACAATCAACAAACTTTAATCAATGTGATTGTCCAATATGTAAATCGGTTGATCAACAATATAAATTGTTGACTTTGCAAACAACAGTTTGAAAATTTGTTTAAATAAAATCAAATTAAATCAAATCAACTTACTCCTTTCTTGATGATGATATCCATGGGAGTTAATTGTTACAATCAAAGTCTAATTGTTGATGACAAAAAAAAAGTGAAAAAGTTTCTCAATTAGAAATAAAAATCTCATTGATTTAAGTTAATAAAATGAAACAAAATTGTAAACATACCGTTATTATTAAAATGGCTGATTGATAAATGATCATTTTGATTACAATGATAGTTAATTGTTGACAATAAAAGTAACACAATGTATCAGATGAAAACACAAAATCACAATTGATCAACAACAATTAAACTTTGAAAACATAAAAGTTTTCTTTCAACAATAAAATAATAGAAAAGTTTTTATCGAATGAGAAGAGGAAAAAAAATTCCAATTTTGTAAATCGGAACAGAAATAGAAAAAAAAAGTTCCAAGAGAAACTGAAACTGAAGATGTGAAACAATCAACTAATAACAATGATAATTAAAGTTGAAACTGAACAAAGTTCCGTGCCAATAAGGTGCTGATCCTGAACAAAAAGGAACCATTGAAACCTGATAATATCTGACTTATATTAAGTTCTCAGGTTGGCCAACCGGTTGCAAGAATATATCAGGTTTCTTGGAACCTCTGAAGAAAAGAGGTTGTAACATGGAAAAGAAAATTTCTCAAAGATAAAGAATCAGAATTTTTTGGTGGAAAAAGAACTAAAAGAAAGAGAAAAAGAAAGAGAAAAAGGCTGAGCATTATCATCATTATCATCTTATGCATGATGAAAGGTGAAGAGAAAGTTAAAAGAGAGAGAGAGAGAGAGATGAAGGATGATAAGATTCAGAGAGTGAGAGTATATATTGTAATATATTTCACTTTTTTTCCAACTCAATTGATTGACTTGTGTCATTAGGAAGATGAAATAATGATGATAAGGATGATAATCAAGCCTCTCTCTCTAATTTAGATGATGTTAAAATGATGATTATTATTATCATTTATGATAATAACCGGAAACCTAGCATTCAAATCGGAAACCCTTCAGGCTGATTGTTCAAGTTTACTTGTTATCCATAAATAAGGAAGAAGTGAAAAAAAAATTCATCAAGATTGATGAACTTGATTATTGTTAATTGCACTTACAGGTTCAATTACATCGCTAATTATTTGTTATTTATCATCATTCGTAATCAACTGTGTAATATATGCAACAATTGAGTTAATTGCATTGGTAATTTTCATGAAAAATTTGATATTTAATTGATTACAATCAGACATTTAAAGTTATTACATTGAAGTTTTTTTTTGTTTCATCACTCTTGTTGTTGATTGTTTAACTTTAATTGATACATTTAATTCAATCATCCGGGAAGTGTTTAATTTACTCATTATGTTTACAATTAAATGAACAGGTTGATTGAGTTTCATATTTACTGTTATAAGCAATTTATTTGATTGCAAAAGTTAATTGTATTTACTTGGAGGTGATGATGATTTGCAACAATTTGTATTTAAAAACTTTATTGTTTGTTTGTTCAATCAATGATCATTGTGGTGAAGGATTTAAACAATTAGTTAATTGTTGTTGATCAAATGGTCAAACGATTAACAATGTGATGAGAAAAATATTTCAAAAGTAACAATCAAATTTGATTAGTTTTGAGAACAATTTAAATCATAATTATAGTTTAGTTCTTATGATTAATATTTACAGAGAAATTAATAAAAAAAATCTCAATGAAACTTTTTTTTTCTTTGTATATTTACAGCTGATGGAGACCAACACTCAACAATTTACTGATTGTGACATTGAAAATCACCAATTGTTATTTCAATTGTATCATCATCATGTCTTATTATTATCATAATCAATGGGAATCAAATTAAATTGTTAATGGTGAAAAAAAACTTAGAAAAAGTTACTAACCCAAGAATATTTAACTTTAACTCTGAATTATTACTTAATTCAAGTTAATCATGGACAATCAAAGCTCACCAATAGATTCAGTATATTGTAGTTATGGTGAGTGTTGAGAAAAAAAAATCATAAATCAACTCATTTGATTAGCTTGATAATCAACTTTCAATTCGTTAATCGCAGTAATTATTAATAGTTGCTGAGAAAAACAAGATTACGATTATTACTTAACCTTTTTTTCTGGGTTTGGTTTGATTTAATGTTAATCATTGATGATTAAACCTTCAGTTAACTAAAGCCTTTGGTAATTGTTGTTGATTAAAAGTGAATCAACTAAATTGTATGGCTCAATGTAAACAAATAATCAATGAAAATTAACAATACAAAAACAATTTAAACTTTTCCTCGAGTTTCTGACCAATGATTAAGATGATTAACCTTGACAAAGGCACTAGTGATTTGAATTGTTATATTAATTGCTGACAATTATATTGCATCTTTCATGATTATGTCAACAGTGTTTACTATTAATATTTTAAATTGTGAATCAAATTAACTTAATTATTATCAAAAGCTGAAAAAAAGAGATTCAAATGTCAATCAAGATGAAGGTCAGGAAAAAAAAAGTCACCAAATGATTAACCTAAGAGATGATAATCAAATGAGCCAAAATTAGGCAGAAATTAGCTGACAATTAGTAAACTCAGTTAATTACATCTAATGGATGTAAAGAAAATTGTTTCAAATCAACTCGATAATCAACTAATTGTTGATTGTTGAGAAAGAAACAAGAACCCAAACAAATCATTTTTCTTAGGTCAATGTCAAGGTTTTTCGTTGTGAGTTGATTGTGTTGATTGTGTTGATTAACAATTATTTCCGGGATTGAATTGAATTGCAATCATGATGATCATCATGATGATTGTCATGTTGATGGTAATAATTAAGATGATGAATGAGAAATATTTGCAAAAAAAATAAGGAAGAGAATGAGATTAACCTGAACAAGAACGAGAATCAAAGGTTATTATCCAAATAATTTACTGATTGTTGTTCACATTTGATTATGATGAATGAATGAAATTGATTGAAGTGAATCATCATTTATAAATCAGCAACAATCACTCAGATAATATAATTATAAATATAAAGAAAAAGCAACAACAACAACAACAAAAAAAGGGTTAAACTGTTACTCTTTTTTATGATTATATCGAGGGACCCGTTTGATGTTTTCATCTTGATGATTACAATTTGATTCAGTTTATCAACGACTTTAATTACAATTTATTTTTCCCCAAATTATTAAGTGTTATTATCATTGTTTGTGAGTATGTTTGGAAGATCATTCAACCTTTAAACTCCTGAAGAAGATGAAGAAGAAGAAAAAATTTTAAGAATAGAACAAAAAAATCTCCACCTTTTTTACCTTTTCATTGCGATCATCAGTCTATCATCATCATCATCATCATCGTCTATTTGGTGACACAACAAGTGATTCTCTCATCATATTGTCATTTACATCAAATCAATTGATTGTGAACAACATTCGTATAGTTGATGAAAAAAAAATCAATCCAAATTCTGTGATAATTGCGAAAACTGTTTGTGATTTACTAACGAAAACTCCAATATCAACAGAGACTTTCCCCTTCGATTTTCTGGTCATCAATTCTGTTTCCGTTTTCCGTTGGTTTCAATACGATTTTTGTGATTAACTAACTTTTTCACTGTTTGATTGAGTTTAATTCTCTGTGATAAGTTGATTCGTTGAAGACGATGGCTGTTGATGCTAAGATTGAGGATTTTCAAGCTCGTCTCCATGCTCTTGCTGTTACATTAGATGTTTCCAATGTTCTGGTTATGAAATCTGATGAATTGTCTCTTAAGGTTGATTTAAGTGGCGGTCCTGAAGCGGAAAATTTCCCTCTGGGCATGGAGGAGTTACGATCACCTGAACGTAAATTATATTGTGAAAAGGTAATTGAATCAAATGGACCTTTAATTGTTAATGATTCAACTAAATCAGACGAATGGAAAGATAATATCGACGCAGCTAAACATGGGCTAATCTCTTACATTGGTGTTCCCCTTCATGGTCCTGATGGTTCAATTCAGGGAACCGTTTGTGCTGTTGATAAAAAAGCTCATTCATTTGATGATAATTCACTTAAAGCCATCACCCAATTACGAGATGATATTGAAAAGTTTGTCATCGAAAAGTAATCAACTAAAAATTATGATTAAAAAAAAACAATCCAAACTTTAATCTAAAATATTAAATTGTAATCTAATCGCAAGTTAATTACAGTTACAGTTTAATCAATACGTAATTGTAATCAATCAACTGCGACAGCAATTTAAGTTTGTATTGAGTCTGAAAGTAAATCTTTTTTTCGTATGATATTATTGGTTTGATTTCTCATTTTATTGACCAACAATTAATTAACCATAATTGATTTAACTCTATTATAATCACCAACAATCAATAAATCAATGAATGAATCAAATTTCAAGACAATAATCAACAGGAACAACAACAATTAAATGATTGATGGTATGAAAAGTCAATTCAATTAATGATTAAAATGAGAGGAAAAAATTTAGTTAATTGTTAAAGTTAAAAGTTGAATTAAAACAAATATTGTCTACTAATTGTTGACACTAAATTTGCTTTCACCTGATCAATTTAATCTAATGATTAACCCAAGAAAATATCTCGCTTGTTTTAATATTAACACTCAATGATTAACTAATTGTTGGTTTAATCAATAACCCTAAAGGTTTAATATTCAACCCAAATCAGTGAGTATGGTCATGACCATGAAGATATCGTATTTATCATGACCACCATGATAATCAGATTCCCTGATGAATTAATTAAAAAATGAACACAAGTAAACAATCAAGTTTCAAAATAAGCTTTCCAATGATGATGATTGATCAGTTGGCTTAATTGTAACAGTTAATTTAGTAAACAGAGACACAATAATCTGTGAATATTGATTAATACAATATTCATATGTGAGTGAATGTTAATTTCATCCGAAATTGATTGAAGCAAATGATCAAATTAATAAATTGTGTTAGTTGATTGTTTTCTGTTTCTGTTGAATCTTTTTTCTTTCTCTATTGATAAGATGATCCAGAATTTATGTGAACAAATTGTTGTGATTGAATTGTAACAAAATGAGAGAGAGAGAAAGAAATAAATTCAAAGCTGATCTGAATAAGATTGAAATGTGGGATTAGTCCACCCACTTATCCACCCTGAAAACCTTTTGTCATCCTGAAAACTGAGCAATTGAAACAATAACATCAACAGAGCTGAAATGAAACAAAAACAAATGACATAACCAAGAAATAGACAGAAAAACAAAGTTTCTTTAGCTCAACTGTTCACAACAACAACAACAGACTGAAGATGATTTTTTTGCTTGTTTATCCTTCAAGATTTAAGGATGAAATCAGATGATGATAAAGAATAGAGAGAGAGAGAGAGAGAGAGAGAGAGAGAGAGAGAGAGAGAGAGTTGAGGATGAGGATGAAGATGAGAAAAAAATATTGACGGTAATCGGTGCTCATCGAGGCTTGAGGTTGTTTCTTTTTCAAGTTCAATTGCTTCAGTTTTTTATCTCCATCTCTTTACATGGAGAGAGAGAAAAGATTCTGAGGATGAATGAAAAAACAGGAGAGGATGAAGAGGAGGCGGTGGGAGAATAGAAGATAAAAAAGACCTGACAGTTTAATAATTCTAAATAAATAGGTCTGTGGAGACGGAGTGGGTAAGGTTCTTGTCTTTTTCTTCACAAACTAAATTTTCCACCTTAAAAATGAGCCTTAGAACTTTTTTTTTATTCTTACCTTGTATTTCGACTTTTTTTTTGCTTCTTCTTCTTCTTCTTCTTTGGTTTCTTGTTTTCTCTTTTCACCTTGATAATGATGATAAAAAATACGATTGACTATTGAAAATGATGATAAAAGGGATGACTGAATCAACTTCTTTATCCGGATGATTATTGTTTTGATTCACTTTCGGTTGTCAGACATTTTCACCTTATCCTTTGTTACTCTCTCATCATCGTAATTATATCACTAATCAAACACAATTGAGGTTTTCTTTGTACCTGAGTAACTTTTTCATCATTCTATTATTACCTTTAGGGTGGAGAAAGAGACATTATCTCTTATCATCATGTCTCTTCTTCATGGTTTAATCTTGTTGGTGTTTCCATCAAAGTGGTTATGGTTTAAATCAAATGAATGGCAAAAGAAGTGCCAAAAAATGTTGATGAGAAGCACAAGGTTAGAAGATGAAAAAACCAAGATGAAGATGAAGATGATAACTTAGATAGGAATTGATAGAAATACTGAAATTGTGAGACTTTCATTATCCTAATTTACCTTTAAATTGTCAACCTCAATCGTGACACCACAGTTAATTGTGTTCTAATTGTAACAACAAAGAGACGATTCTTCATTGATTAGATATTAATCTTGACCATTGAATATTTTACACGCACGATTAGTTTGGATTGTAAAGTTGATTAAAATGAATTTTCTATGGAAAAGTAAATCAATCATATACATTAAGCCAATTTCTCATAATCAATTTGTTACCTTTGGTAAAATGGTGATAAAATGAAATAAATCATTTTTTATCTTCTATTTCAATGTTATCATGTTACAATCATGATTATTTATTTGCATATATCATTTTCACCTGATGCAACAATTTGAATCAAGTTTCAACCATGATGATAAACATTACACAGAAATACAAGACAGGTAAAGAGAGAGAGAGAGAGAGAGAGAGAGAGAGAGAGAGAGAGAGATGATAAATGTTGATGATAAACTAACATTCAGATGGAAACAAATGATAACATTGTTGTTGTTTTTTCTTTTACCATGAAATTGAAATATTATCGTTCTGATAAATCAGTTAACAGGAATAAGAAACAAAAACAATCAGGTAAATCTGACAAGACGTAACAACAATTGATAGATGTAAACAAAAGTTTACCTGATAAAATTGATTGGAAAGGTTTGATTTTGAACAGAAATTATCATGAAAAAAATATCATGTTAAAATTATTCTGATTATTTTAATGTTTCCTTAATGGTTTTGATAATGATTATGATATTTATCATGAAATTATTTCAATTCTTATCCTGTTTCATGAAATCCTCATGAGGATGAAACAAATAAACTACTTACCCGAAAGTTTGTCAAGTGTTTTCTCATCTAACTCACAATTCATTCAGAATAATATAAATATAAGTCAGAATTTTTTTCATCCATTATTTTTTCGCCCTCATCTTTCATGGAGAAAAGAAATACTTTCTCTCTCACTCATGATCATCATGAAGATAATGATGATATTCATCTTGATTAACTCAGAACTTTTTTGCTGCTTCTCTTGTATATAAACTGTGAAGTGGATTTGTTTGATTTGTAAAGGCAACATTGTGTACAATACAATTAAGAATCACAATCAACCAGGAAGATGGTGAAAACAAATACTAACCATCATGATAATCATCATGAAAAGTTGAAGATAAAGTTCATTCCAAGCTGAATCCTAATACACAACCAGTAAAGAGTAAAAATTTATCATGAAACGAAAAAAAAAAGATTCTTATTTTGACTCATCTTAAGGTGTAACAATTTAGATCCATAAATGATAACAATTAATAACCATAATCATATCTCATGTTGACCGATAAAACCAATAAATGTAACCATCAATTTCAAACTGAATCAATTCAATTGTCAATTGACAAAACCCCTTCTGTTTATTAACGATAATTATTGGTAATAATCATCATCAACTCGGGAATCATTTTGATAACAAAATGAAAGCTAATCCTCATAAGATTAACAAGGAACGGAAAAAAAATCTATTAGATCCTAAACTTATCCATGGGGCTATTATGGCCAAATTAGATTCACCTCTTCCTCTCCCACTCCGATCCTTAACCCACCGCCACCATCACCTCTCCTTTTTTTTCAATCATTTCAACTATTATTATCTTAATCATCATCATCTAAAATGTTAATCTAAACCACATTGATGGCTCACAAGTGATTGATATGTTAATATAATCCCAGAGTGAAAGGTAAGTTCTGATTCCCCTGAAAAAAAAACTTTCAGAACTTTTTTTCCTCCTCATCGTGTTCAACAGTTTCCACTCACAACTAATACAAATAAATAACATTTAACACACATTAATGTCAGATTAATGACCATTTCAAGTTATATTATCTTCATCTTCATCATTATCATCATTGATAACTTTATCTCTCTCTCTCTTTCTTACTCTATCAACGTAATAATGACTTTCATTGAGAGAGTTGGGAGAGAGAGAGAGATGAAGATAAATCCAATCTGAATCCTGAAAGAAGATTGAATTTACAATCTCTCTTTTTAATGTAATCAGATTTTTCCCTTGTCTTCAGAGTCTCTTCCTGATGATTATCATTAACAAACATAACAATTTATTTTCCGGTCAACAGCAATTTAGAAAATGAAAACTTTTAAATTGTTATCATCACTTATCCAATAGGATTGAATTTTCCAGAAAAAAAGAGAGGATAAGTTAATCTCGATGTTAATGATAATATAAACAATTAAGGATTAACTTTCCCTTTGATTGGAAGAGGAAAAAAAATTAAATTAGATTTAGTATTTTGAACTGAAAACTGTGATTTTATATTGATTCATTTTGGGTTTGATTGTTATGTTAATTGTGGTGATACAATGAAGGTAAAACTTGTCAATTGACCATTTGACCAACAATGACAAACATTAGTTTCTCAGGTATATATTATATGAAAGGTAATTGTTGAATGATGATGATAATGATAAGAGATGAGGATGAAAAGTGATGATAAAAAAGTAAGACAAATTGTTTAAAAAGCCCTCAAGGGATATAAGTCAAGTTGATGAGTTTGAACCAAGTAAACATTGTAAAGCACTTGCCGATGAAGATGATAATGATAAAATGGATCATCCTCATCTTTTACCTTCATCATCATGTGGGAGTTCAAATTAAACAGGGAGTGAGAAAGAGTCTCAGTCTCATGATATAAAACTTTGGAAACCTTAAATTTGGTAAATATATAAAAAAAGGGCAACAGGAGAAAGGAAAGAAAAGAAGAAGAAGAGAAATTCAAAAGGAAAAGGAAATGATGATAATAATGATGATAGAAAAGGATGATGGAGATAAGGAGGAAGATGGAAAAGGCCAGTGAAAGAATACACTGTGAATGTTATATGTATTTTATTACATTTTATACGCATGAGAACTTTATCTTTCGTCGAACTCACTCAGAACAAAATCAAAGTGATTCGTGTTTCATTCATTTTTTTCCCTTCTCATTCAACATTCAAGTTCATCATCCTAAGCATCATCTTCATCTTTCATCATCCCTGATAATTCAAAATCGAATGGTAAATGTTATCCAAATTCAAATTGTTCTAAGTGGTTAGAACAATTTCTTTTCTTCTTCTTCCCTCTCGATTTTGTACCAAGTTGATTTTGTTTTTGTTTCTCTTTCGGTGGAAAATTTTTTCTATTGGAAAACTTTTACTTCCTCAATAAGTTAAAAAGTGTAAACAGAGGATTATAAAAGTTAATTGTTGTTGATTATGGTTATCCAAACATTTGAATCCAATTCGACAGCGATGATTGTTAATGAACCTGTTAATGGACATGTTAATCAATTGATTAACAATCATTCAAACAGTTTCACTCCTCGGTCAATTGTTAAATCATCTACTCGTAAAGACACAATTGAACCAAAGTTAATTGATACCAAAAGTGTCACACCAACACCAACAATTGTTACCAATCCAAAGGTGACAACAATTAACGGTAATTGTTACAATAATCCGTTCCAACAATCATTAACACCTTATCATAATTATCAACAACACTCAAATTATGCAAGTTATCATCATTTAAATAGTAACAATCAAGCAACTGGATTAACCTCATCATCTTTGTCACCAACACTTTTTTATCAACGCAAGGGCTCATTTTATATTCTGTTATCACTTTTAATTCTGGGAATTGTTTTGCTCATTTTAATTGCTGTTGGGTCAATAATTGTCTACATTACCTGTAAGTATTATGATAACAATTGAAAATTGTTATTAACAATTAAGCTAATCAACTTTGCCCCAGCAAAAATCAGCTTGAAAACTTGTATGAAAATCAATCACTATTTTAGTGTTTTTTTTTGTTGCAAACTTACATAAATTCAATCAGGGAAAAAATTAAATCGTTGATTAAAAGTTAATCATCTTGTGAATATAATGTATTAATCAATTATGATTAAGGTTGATTAACATGAATGATCATCAAGGTGAGTTGAACTCTAACCCAATCTACAAGTAAAATATTATCTTGCAAGTGAAAAAAAACTCAATAGATTTTTTTTCAATTTTCTTGATATAAAAAAATAATCATCTCTCAACCACCTACATCATCATCTTGAGCATCCTTTAGCCCCATTACCCACCCACCCTTTGAATTTATCCTTATCTTCATCTTCAACTCTTCACACTCTTGAAAAATCATCATCATCATCATCTCCATGTTAAGGCTCATTGATAAACATTAAAATCCAAAAACATTAACAACATTTTCTTATCTTGATATTATTCATCCTAACCCACCTTCCAACTTTTCCCTCCTTCATACTTACCACCCTCTTCCTATCATCATGAAGATTCTGATGAAACTATTACAAAGATTTCCTGATGATTATGATGAGAAAATTTCACTTACATATTCAGACTTATATCCAACACGTACAAATAAATGTTATCGTAATAATTTTCACTCCCACTTCACTCCCAGCATTTGAGATTCAACCTTATTATCAAACAATTTGATTCATAAAAACTGAATGATAATGATGATGATAAGGAAACATTTCAACATTTGAGTAAAAATCATTACGATAATTTCACCAAAAACTTTGAAAGAAACTAGAAAACTAGAGTATTTAAGTATCCTGAATACTCATCAAATTGTTTCAATATCATGCTGAGTATCATGAGAGTATATTAACATGATTAAAATGAATAAAAGATAAAATGTAAATTGAGAATTTTAAATTTTCTATTTTTCTCTCTGTTTTGTTCAACATTTAACAAGATTATTATTGTAACATTATTGAATCTTCATCATGAGAGTATAAACTTTTCCATGACTATTTCCATGATAACAGAATTGCATATTAATTAGATAATTTCAAATGTTTACAATCATTTTGATAACTTTTATCCTCTCATTTTGTGGTTTCAAATTTGCTCAATCAAATTAATCTGTCAATTGATTCATTCAACTGAATTTTGTTATGATCGATCATCTTTAATTAGGATTAATTGCTCACTGATTGTTGATGTTACTCATTTCTCTCATATTGATTATATTTCATCTCTTAGATTCATCAGTTTATTCAGTAATTCAGTTAATCATAATCTCTCATGTTAATCAACTGAATTGAAAATTTTAACATGATAATTTTTATATTCCTGATTCATTGTTTGTTAGAATCGATTACAAATCGATTTCGACTATTATTATCATGATATTGGCTGAATATCCTATAGCTACGATAACCTATAATACCCTGAATTCTGAGCGATTTTCATGGTAAAAGTTCAGAGATGCTCAGTAGTTTAAGAATCGTACAAAAAAGATATTCTCTTGAAGGAAAAAAACATCGTCATGATTGAGAAAACTTTAATCAGTCAACTATTCAAAGTTAACCTTTCGAAATGAATTAATTATGATCAATAATCAACTCAATCGATCAACAACAATTAATAAATTGTTGACAATCAGAAGGCAAAAAAAAAACTAAATGATTACGATTAAAGTCAAACTTTTACCAACTAATATTTATATCAAATTGATTTCTCTCATTGATTAGAAAAGTTAATCAATGATTTAACAATTTAAACCACAATCAAAGGCAACCGTTGATCTTAATTGTTACTTTGCTTCTTAAAATAATCAATAATTAATTTCTAATGATTCACTTTCACCTTAATTGTTACAGATTCTCAGAGAGCTAAAACAAGGATTACAATTGAAAGAAAAGGTAAATTTATAATGATGGTTAACCTTTTAATCACTTCAACTAATCATACCAATTAAGAGCTACAATTAGTATCCATTAAGGATAATAATTAGTAAATTGTTGGATGAAGTTTTTGTTAAATACAAACAACAACAATAGAAAACATTGTTTCTTGTTTTTCGATGGAAAAAATTGAAAAATTAACTCAACCTGAACTTTTTTATCTCGATTCAATTTCTGATTCCATTGAATTGAGCTCATGGTTTATCATGCAAACCAACATTTTTCATCTTCTCATGTCAAGGATTCTTATATTTTCACAGATATTTTTCGCCTCATTTCAGTCTCATCATCATCTTCATCCAATTTAGTAGTGAAAAAAGTTCTAAAAATATCGAACTCGAGAAACTTTTCCTTCTCACCTTTTGTTTCCGAGGTTTCGATTAAGATTAATTATCATCAATTCCGTTTCTCAGCTTCAGAATTTCATCATACATGTATGATCAATTGAAGAAGAAAATATTTTACTAGAAAATTTCTTCCATCCGATGACCCTTCTCATCTCATAAACTGACCCTTACCTATTGACCCATCGAACTGAGGGAAAAGAAAAAAAAAGTTCTAACATAATCAATCAACTTTTTCACTTTACCTTCAACAACCAGAATTGAATAACTTTCATTGGGAGATTAATTTTTATTATATTGAAATTGAATTTTCTTTAATGCTTGATTTGATTAGAACAATTTAATTTAATCATATTGCAACTTTTTTGACAAAGTGACCATTTTAAGCATTCGAGGGAAATGAATTGAAAATATAAACATGATAAAACTTATCAAAAGGGGAGAAAAAGTTTATCCTTAGATTTCATGAAAAGATGATAATCTAATTTGTTAATCTAATTGTTCCATCACAATTAAGATCATTGTCTTTCGATTGGCTGTTCGTTTGGTGCTGATTGTGTTTTAGATGAGGATGGACTCGAACCTTATTGCCGATGTACTCACCAGTGCGATGCCCGAGTGGAGGGTCTTGGTGAGGGCGGAGGTGGTTTCAATCACGAATACGTTTGTGGTAATGATAATGTTACTTATCCAAGTTCGTGTCACCTCAGATTGACCTCATGTCAACTTCAGCAAACAATTTATGTTAAACATGAAGGAGCTTGTTGTAAGTATCACTAATTATCACTCAATTACCATGACAATTAACTAGACTCATCAACATGTTTCCATGTTAATTGCAACGAAAATAAACTCAAAGTCGATAAATAATATTAACAAAATATCATAAAGTGTCAAGTCAACAATTAAAACAAATGATCAGTTGATTAGTTTATCAATAGTTGAAAGTATTAATATTTTTTTATTTAAATGAGTTAATGTTTTGTTATTATTAATACTTATTAGTTCATTGTAGTATCTTAATTGTAATTGTAAACTTTTACTGAATGCAAGTTCATTGAGGGAATGGATTGATGAGGAAAATGAAAGTTCATCATGATGAGGATGAATTTTGTTAAAGAGGTTAAGAAGGTCGTTCTAAAAATGAGTCTTAATTAGCTGATTGTTTACTTAGTTAACAAACATACTTTTAATATAATAATAACGTTGATGATGAAAAATAGTACAACATGATTTGCCTACCAACATGAATCTCTGGGTGATTCTGATTCTCAGCTCCCATGAAAATGATGAAACAATAATAACAACAAACTTAACTCAATACAAAGTTAAGTAAACAAAACAAATACATAATATTATATATAAACAGTTACTTATATTGTTGTTGATCATCATCTTCATCATTTAAGAGTCTATTATTATCATCATCTTAATCATTATCATCGTAATAGTAATCAAATAGCAACTTGATCATCAGCTTATCACAATCAGTTTGCTAGTTGATCAGCTGATTGATTGATTGATAGATAATTTTTGTCCGTTTTCATGTCCGGTTACGTGCTGAATATTTTTCATGAAAAATGAAAATTTTTGATCATTTGGTCAATGGGAACTTCTGATTTGTAAATCATGATTATAATCATTAGACCATAGAGATTGAGATGGAAAAATTAACAATATAAGATGGAAATTTGTAAAATCGGAACTTTTATCCTCTCTTGCTGAGCATTTGAAATGTAAGATTTCATGAAAAATTCAGTTTTGAATAATCAGAATTCAATGTTAATGGTGTCAATATTTTCACCTTTTATTTTTGCAAGAACTAAACCAATTGAAATCATGGTCAAGTTTCAGTGTCCATTTATATATTAGCTGAGATACAAACACGATTATGATGATCATAACCATGAAGATGATAATGATCACCATGAACATATGAATGAATATAATACTCAGATATATATATAATATTATTTATGCCATTTTCTCATCATAATCATCATCATCATAACAGATTACATGTAAAGTAGGTAAAGTAAGAAAATCTTACAAGCAGAACTTTTTTTTATTCAAATAATATTTTCATGATACATGAGGAGTGATCATGATGATCAGAATTGTTCAAAGGTGTGAAAAGGTGTATAAAAGATAAAGGTTAAGATGAGTAACAAGAACAAGAAGAAAAAAAAATCCTTACATTAGAATCAATTTATCATGACCAGCAGAACTTTTTCTCAGAACTTTTCATTTTGGAAAATTCATTTTTTTCTTCTCTCCCTGAAAAGAAAAACTCAAAACCTTTTCATCATATTTTCTCAAGCCTATGGTGAGAAAACATGATGAACATATTATATAACTTGACCATGATGATGATCATCATCATCATGAATTGAATTAGAGATAAAAGAACAATTTTTCTTTCTTTCAATCAAAAGTTCTGAATATTGAAAAAAATTGATTCAGAATAATAATAACATGTATCATCCATGATGTTGATGGTTAATAATTGTTTCTCAATATCATGTAGTTTCATGGGAAAAAGATTCAGAACTCAGCATAATAGTTACACTGAACTTTTGAAATGAACTTTTTGCTTTTGTAAATATATTTTTCTAATTCCGATTTATCTCTTATCATGGATTCACCAGATTCATGTGAATATATTTTCACCATGATTACCATGAGGTTACCATGGGTTAATATTGATAAAATCAATATAAATTGGCAGCAATTTAAATTCAACCGTTAACATAATCATATGTTGTTATTATTATGATTACCTAAAGGATTAGGAATAAGTTTTTACTTTGGTGATCATATTCATTGAGATTCATTCAATCATCCAATTGAATTGAGATTTTTTTTTTCTCTCTCTCTCTCATCCAATTGACTTGATTATCAACATGATGATCAATCCGATTGAACAATTTAAATCCAAACAATTTAAATCCAATTGACTTTATGTGTAAAAAAAGGCAATCAAGTAATCACCAAGAAAAATGTTGGAGTGAGAAAAAAAAACTCCAACATTTTCATCATCTAATATGAATTACGAATTTAATTTAATTTAGTTTGAAGAATGAAAATTAACTAATTAAATTAAGATGATTTTGTATTGCTAATTAAAAAGCATTTTAAAAATTGGAGAAAAAAGTTTTTTAATTAACTTGAGAATCAAACAATTAACTTGTTGGGAAAATTTTCCAATCCTTTTCAGTTGAGATTTAATTTTAATCTATGTTATCGTTGATTGTTGATTAATTGTTGACGGTTAACAATTAACATCTCAATGGTTTATTTTCAATATTTGTTAACAATCAAGTTGATTAATTAATCGAGAGAAATGTTTATCACTGATTAACAGAACTTAAATTTAATCATAATCAATGTGATTAAGAAAAAGTTTCAACAGTGTTAATGAAATGATTAAAACAAGTTAATCAAATCAATTATTATGCTAATTGTGATTATCATCTCAATACTAATAGCATAACATTGGCAATATGATTTAATTTAGTTAAATTAATTTACCTTTTAACTGGCTCGTTGATTGTTACATCACCAAGTTAATCACCTAATTATCATATCGGTTTGATTTAATTACTAAATTTTTCCCATGATCTTGATAATCATTTTTTTTTCTTGATTGTTCAAAGAGCCAAACTAATCATGAATAATAATACAATCATTTGATTATAATTAAATTAGATTATATCATTTTTGTTCCGGATTTAATTGTGATATACCTTGAAATTTGTTAATTGTGAAAATTTTCAGCCTCAAAAAGCTGATTAGTTAATGAAAACTTTTCTAAATACTTAACCTAACATTAATTTCTAGTAATCAAATTAATTGTGCTCCAATTATTGATTCATATTGAGAAAGATATGAAAAAATATTATGATTAATATTAAAGTTGCCAATTAAATTATTAACTGATTGCAACAAATTATCAACAATTAGACAATCACAATTAACTTTATTCATCATATTATTATTACTCCTTTCCAAACAATCAACTCACCTGTAAATAATATGATTTATTAACTTGTCCGATTGGCTAAACAATCAAAGGGTAATTAATAATTGAAACAATTTCAATCAACATGAACAATTAATTTGTTAAAATTCATTTTAATTGTAATACTAAAGTAAATAATCAAATGTAAAGTGATTGACATTGAATTGTTACAGTTAAATCATAACAATCAAGAGTAAAAAAAACATCATGATTATTATTATGATAACTTTAACTCCCATTTGATAATATCATTGTTGTTGATGATAAACTGTCACAATTTGATGATAATACAGAATTGAAACAAAATTATCATCTTAAAGTTGGATGACAAAAAAATAACGGAAGGATTTAAGTCAAGAAGGAGGATGAGGAAATGGATGAGTGGATGATGAAGACAAGGATGACAGGGGATATTCAGAGAAATTCATTCAATCTGATTCAATGATGAATCTATTTTTGTTTCCTCATGAGTTTCAATCTAAATCTCCTGTCAATCTTATCCATCAATTTATTCATCTTTTTATTTTCATCAATAACATGACAATTTCATGATCAATATCATCATTGTCAATTTGATTGTCTCCTTTATTGAGATTTAATTAACTAAACATTCAAAATTCAGATTCACCCAAGGATTAACCTTGGCTCATGATTATCATTTAATCAATTCTGTAATAAATGATTTCTTAGCATTTTTCCTGTAAAAATTTATCAATCAAATTGTAAATTGTTTCGTTACTTTAAATTCAATTGTCTTTATTTTCCCATTCATGGAAACTCTCAGATTTTTCAATCTTCATTCATGAGATGATTTAAATATCACCATGATAATAATTACCATTCCTAATGCAATAATATCAGATTTATATGATAATGATAATCATTGAATCTCACATTTCATCATCATAACCTTTTTTTTACCGTTATTTTCATTTTTAATCATTTGGTTACATTATCATGTAGTTTACAATTATGATACACGTACCATTGAATTCACCCTGTTTTTGTTCATGATTTGGATGATGAAAATTCTGGTTGAAACAATTTAGATTCAATTTAATCAGAAAATGCCTTCCATCCATCTCCATGGATAAAATTGAAAAATTTACCAAAGGAAATGTTTCTCCATTGGCATTAAAATGATATTTTTAGATATGAAAATCGTTTAAAATTTATCGGGGAAAAAATAATAACAACAATCAAATTAATCATTGGGATGAAGTTCTGATTAGCATGAAAACATTTATATATACGTGTTACAATTAACTTTTTGGGTGAACTACGATTAACCGGATTAAAAGGTGAAGTGTATTGAATAATGAGAATTGATTATTTAACATGAAATTGTGATCAAGTTTATTGTTGATCAAATTTTAGCTTCTTGATTACGATTTGACTGATGACTTTCATGATGTTAAAGGCAAAAATGATGATGATGGTGGTGGTGGTGGGTGAATACAGGGTGGGGTTAATGGGATGAGTTTCGGATGAAATAATGATGATGATTAGTATAACAGTCTCTCAGCATTCAAGTCGATGAAAAATGAGAATCAACATTTTTATCATCACTTTTCATCTTTATATATTATATTTCTCAGCATCATCATCATTATCATCCTCTCAACACCTCGTTATCAAACTAATTGATCTTAAATAACTAATCACTTTACATGATATCATGTAAACCAAAGGCTCGATATTTATATGAATAGCAAAGGGTTTGGTTTATAACACAATTTGTATTGAGCTAATTTTTTTCATTCTATTATCATTATCTAATCATAATCAAGATTCATTGTAATTTTTTCCATCACCTCCAACAATTTAGCTTCAACGTTTGATTTTCTTGGTTAGAGATTAGGAAACAATCATGATGATAAATCATGATGAAAATATGAGAAAAGGGTTAATAAGGAAACAGAAAGAAAGTTTTTCTTTCATTAAATTGTCATGACAATGAATCAATCAGCTGATTTGATTGATTATCTCCCAATTTTGAATCAAATTAACGCCTGGAGCAAGTTGACAATTACTTAATCATCACGATGAGGATTCTTTTCCAATATTAAGTTACACTGAAATTCAATAGTCTATCAGTTTACTAATTAAGAAATAGAAATGGGAAAAAAACAGATCATATTAATCACATTGGTAACAATTTAACTTTGTCTTAACTTAATGATGATGATGATTTGCTTTTCTCATCAGCTAATATCATGTAATCTATTATTGTTATTATTACATGAACACTATCTGAATATTACTTTCAACTTATTACTTGAAATGAGATGAACATTTACCGTTATAATGATATCGCTATTAAAGTTTTTTACTTTTTACCATTTCTAGTTTTTTTTCCTGAATACTCACAATCTATTGTAATAATATTATTATTATTGAATAAAAATGAACTCTTCATGGTATGAATACCTTTCATGGTAAGAAAAACATTCCCATTCAGTGACTGAATCAACTGTTTTGTTTGAAAAATAATATCAACCATTCATTTTGATTGTATTAACGATAATCATGGTAATATAAATACAGGGGAATCTCAATAATGATTGTAACTAAATGGCAATAATATGAAAACATTCAATAATAATTAGAGTTTACAATCAGATAGTTGATATAACATCGTCAAGCTTATCAATTGTATTATTAATTTTCTCAATTTCAAACAACGATTATCAATTAAGATACGACAAGAGCCAAATTACTATTGTTAAAAACTAATAGACAATCAATTATGATTATCGAAATTGCTTCTTAACATTGGAAAATGTTCATTGTATTTACATGTTATTAGAACTTTTTTTTTTGATTATCTAATGGTGTTGATTGTATTTCTTTTCTTAGATGGAGTTCAGAGTAAATGTATCGATTCTGATTGTAAATATGGTTCTATATGTTCACCGGTAAAGACTGGACATGGGAGTGAATGTCGATGTCCAGAGAAATGTCTCGATTATCCTGAAGTTGTCTACTGGCTGAGGGAAAAATATCCTACCTCTCAAAGTGAATCTCTCGCTTTGACCAATGAAACTGTTTGCGGAATTGATGGTCAAGATTATGAGAATTTTTGTCAGCTCAAGAAGATTTCATGCCTTAAATCCAAGCCCATTTCTATCAAATATTATGGCTCATGTGGTAAGCACTCTAATCATAAGTATTACTTTCTCCATGTGCCCATCGAATCCCTGAGAGCTCTCTCTCCCTCCATTTTATCAATTTCTCCTTCCATTGTATCTCTCAAATTCAACCACCATCCAGAAGATTCAGAGAGGATTATCCTCATGTTGTTGTAGAAAAAAAAATTGGAACCAAGGAAAAGAAAACAAAAATACTATTCAGATTATTAGTATTATTATATTATCTTTAACATTGATATTAAACTTGTTAGTTTATGTTTGGGTTAAACGATGAGGATAATAAAAAAAAATCCCAATCAGATTTACTCATCAACAATAGTTGGAACATCAACTGATTTGTATTAATGATAAACAATGATAATCACCATGATCATAATCAGAATTATCATCAGGTAGAATCAGGGAAAGGAATTATAATCATCAAGGTCTAACAAATGAATAGAGATAAAATCCAATGAATTCCGGTTGGATAAAAAGATGACTTCAATTCCTTTCGTATTTGGATTATCAGTGTTTCACTTGGATGAATAATCATCATCATGAATAACAAGACAAGGGGAAAAAAGGTCAGAATGAGGAACATTTTTCTTCACGAAAATCAGTCCATACAAAGCTTATAGAATTTACATAATTCGTCGAAACGAAATGTCCACTTCTGACCAACATACAACAGGGAAAGTTCACTAATCATAACAATGAAAGATTTCAAGAGAAGTTCATATCAACAATTAGATGAAGAGTGAAAGCCCAAGGGAAAAGTTTCGAAGTTGAGAAAAAACTTTTCTCATACTTTTTCGTGTTTCTTTTCAACACCAACAAGTTCGAGTTTTGATTGTTCGAATTCTTTATTTCCATTGTAATCGTTTATCGTATTATTATCTGGTCATCTTGTGTATCATCTTCATCTATTATTAAGATACAACAATAGAGCAAATTGAAAGAGATGATGATGATGATGCTACATTTGAATGTATCATCATGTTATTATTTATTATTTATGGTTTCTGATAATCTTTCCTCTCTTTTTTTCTTGCTCTTTCCTTTTCCGTTTTCATTTGATACAGATCCTTGTTCAACCATGATGTGCCCATCAGATGAGATTTGTCAATTGGATGATGAAAGGAGACCATTTTGTTCATGTAACAATACCTGTTCAACCATGGATATAGTTGATTCTCATCATAGTAATTTCAACAATAAGGATCAGTCTCAAGGAGATGATGATGATGATAATAGTCATCATAATAATCGTAATGGACTAACAATAATGACCCCTACAACCTCCACCACCGGGTCAACCTCTACTATTACTACAATAGGTTCGATATCATCTTCCTCTTCCATCTCAACTGAAAATAAAACTACATCTTCAATCTGTGGATCGGATGGTAATTTATACCAAAGTGAATGTTCACTTTTAAGAGAATCATGTGTTCAAAAGATTGATATTAAACCTTTGCCCTCATCGAATTGTATTCAAGGTAAAGATGATCATCTTTTCAATCATCATTCGCTCCAATGGCTCCTCTCACTCACTTTCTCCCTTCTTTGTATCTTCTCTCATCTTTATTCTTTCCCTCTCATTTTCTTCATCTTCATCTTTCTTCCATCATGTGTATTCTCATCAATTCTGTGTACATATATGTTTACTCAATGTTCCTGATGCGGGGAATGATGAAGATGAGAGAACGAGAATAATGTTCTTTGTGTATATTTATATATTTTATTCCAATCCATTGCTTTTTCCATCATCATCATCATCATCTTCATTATTCTCAAGCCATCATGCTCTTTATCATCTTGTCCACTTCAATTTTGACATTATTTCAATGTTATTCTTGATACTGATTCGTTTTCCTTCAATATTATTTACCCTTTTTCCATCTCTCTCTCTCTCTCTCTCTCTCTCTCTCTCTCTCTGTCTTTCTTTTGATCCATCCCGATGATAAATCAAATTCTGAGAGTAAGTTGGTGATGATGATGATAAAGAATTAGTGTAAATACACAGAAATATATATTAATTGGTTGAAGAATTGTAATAATCCAAATTAACCAGATAATATCATGTTCCTCGTGATTAACTATCAAATTTAATCTTAAGGCGTTTACTCTTGGAAATTTATTTAACCGAGAAAAATGTTCAATAGGATAATATGAATGAGATATGAAGATAATTATAATCACCATAATTGACTTTACCTAATTTAGCTTCTTCTCCAGTATAATTAAGTGACTATCTTTTTATATTATTATCATTTGCTCTCATTAATATGATTGAAAGTTACAGTTTAATTTAATAATAACTTGAAAACGAGAAAATAATCCAACAAGAATAAGAAGAGAAGAAAAAATCAATTCTATTCCAATTAGAGATCATGATTATCTTCATGGTAAAAATGAATCACAATAGAAATTAATCTTTAATTTTCTTCCATTATTGTGACAATGATCATTAATAATAGAATCTATTGATTACAATTAACCTGGAATTAGTTAATCATCGAGAAAAAGAAAACTATTAATATTATTACAATTGATTAGCCAAAGTTTAGAGTTTTGATTGATTTTCAGAGAAAGAAAAAACTTTCCTATTAATCAATTGATTTCTCTTTATATTCTTTAATTAATTGATAAGAGAATTAACCATTAAATTTGATTGTTTTGTCTAAATCATTACGAGTAGATTAGTTAAATTGTTATAAAGTTATTTATAAGATTCACGATGAAAACAATCAGTTTATTGTTGTCACTTTGTCGTTCATGTTTATTGTTGACAAAAAGTGTCTCAGTTACACCCAATTGATTGATTAATCTGATTGATTGATTATTTGATCTTCTTGTTTCCTAATCTTCAACAGGTCATCATCCATGTCATAAAAGCTCATGTTCCTATGGTGGTAAATGTATTGTTGATAAATTTGGTTCCACTAAATGTATTTGTCAACAATGTGAAAAAATTTATAAACCAATTTGTGGGTCAAATCGGATTACATATGATTCAGTTTGTCACATGTTGAGAGATTCATGTATCAAAAAGGTCAATCTAACGATAACTTACTCAGGTCCATGTGAAAATTATCAACCAACACCAATACTGACCAATGGATTAACTAACAATGGATTTGGCGGGTCAATGAATAACATTGGACAGATTGGGTCAAATCGATCAATCGATTTATTAACTAATTCAATTGTTCCTTGTACACCCGATAATTGCCGATTTGGTGGATTTTGTGTCCAAGCGAAAGATTCGGACCATCAGATGAATAGTATTTGCCAATGTCCACAATGTTCAGAGGAATCGGAGGCCGTTTGTGGTTCCAATGGAATCACTTATCTAAATGAATGTGACCTGAAAAAAGCTTCGTGTCAAAATCAAAAGGATATTTACATTTCTCATAAAGGACCTTGTCGTAAGTGATTAACATTTAATTAATTACCTGTTCACTTAAATCATTGATTACACATCACGATGGACAATTGGATCGTAGTTAACTGATTATTCAACTTTTGGTTGACCGGCACATTTAACAAATTCTTAATTTTACTTTTCATTTACAACAATTAATACTTTGAAAAGTCTAAAATGGCTAATTAAATGTCCATCATTTGTGAAATGTAATTAATTGTTACAATTAAGTTGTTTCGTTTTGTTTTGAAGTATTTTCTGTTATAAGCTATAAGTTTATTTGTAATATTATATCTGGAAGTTTGAAAATGTTTTCAAGTTGATTCTTTGTTTGTTGATACGAATTGTTGATTTTAATTGTTTGATTGTTGATCTTTTTTTCCCTCGTAGGAAGTTGTGACACAAGTAAACATAGTTGTAAATACTACGCTACATGTGAGATCAATATGTATGGTATTCACGAGTGCGTTTGTCCTCAGGTTTGTCTTCGTCAGGATCAAGCGATTTGTGGTTCTAATGGTGTTACTTATGACAACGAATGTGAATTACGAGTCCGCTCTTGTTTAGCCCGAACCGAAATAACAGTTGCTCATATTGGACCTTGTGGTAATTAGAATCGATTTCCAATAATCTCTTAATTAATTTGCTTTTTCCTTGTTATTCCTTAATTTGATTTGTATCGTTCTCGTTTCTCTTTCAAAGATATGTGTCAAAAGGTAAACTGTAAAAATGGAGCTCAATGTGAGGGAGGTCGATGTGTTTGTCCAAGTTCGTGTCCTGATCCCATTTACGAACCAATTTGTGCCAATGACGGAAACACTTATCCAAATTTATGCGAGATGAGGAAAAACGCTTGTCTCAATGATAAAGACTTAAGGTCACTTTTTTATGGACAATGTGAGGTTGAAAATGAAGATGAACCAGCAAGTTCAGATGATAATGGTTCCATCAATCAGTTACAATCAAATCAAATTTCTAAGCAATATAATAATCATAATCATCGTCATCAACATTCTCAGTTCAATCAACGAGATTTCAATTCATGGGCCGAGAAAATTTCGGGTCAATTTTCATCGCCTTCACCTTTAGTTTCATCATTAACCTCGAACATTAATCATAACAATAAACCTTGTCAACGATTAAAATGTAACTTTGGGGGAATCTGTTCATTCAATTCTCGTGGTAGACCCTTTTGCGAATGTAATTTAAATTGTCCATCAATGTCCAGTTATGATAAGGTTAATGATGAGCCGGTTTGTGGATCCGATGGTCGTTACTATGATAACCTTTGTTCACTGAAAGAGGAATCATGTCGACGTCAGGTCGAAATTAAATCTGTTAATAGTGATCAATGTAATCTATCAACATCCTTTACTCCAAGTGATTAATTATCCCAAGAAATTAACTCACTTATAATGTTGACAATTAAACTAGTCTATCAATTTATCTGACTATTGTATATCAGAATAAATAAACTAGTCAATTCTAATCAATGTAAATGTATAAATGAAAATAAAGAAATTTTTTAATCTTCAATCAAATCTTATTGGGAAAATTGATTTCGATTTTGAAAGAAAATTAATTGTGGCGAAATTTTTTCCTACTCCAAGTATAACTAAATCGTTTCCTTTTCATATTCTTTGATGTTTTGGACAGTGAATTGAAAAGTTTTCTTCGTCCATATCACAACCTAAAGAGAGAGGGAGAGAGGAAAGTATAAAGAGTCAATACAATTATCGGAAACAATTAAGAATTTAGAGTTAATCAGATGAATACCTTTTTCTTTGGCACATAAGTAGTGAAATCTTGGAGAACATCCTTTACGAAGGCAGCCAAGAGGCGCTCCTTTTAATTTACACTCGCAGCAAATCTGTCAAAAAGAAATCGAATCAGTTAATTATGTTTTCAAATTAGAATCCCGACTAAAAGGGTTTACATTTTCAGAGCAATCTTTAATCACTTCTTCAATATTTCTAATCCTATGTCCAACTAGATAAACACCATTGGACCAAACTAAACAATCTTCATGGAACCAAACCTCGCGTTGAGATGTTGAATTGCCTCCATTACTGTTGTTATTATTACTATTGTTATTATTGTTGTTAATACGATTGATTGTTGTTGATGGGATTGAAGTTAATTCTAAGCCCGTGTTGGTAACAATTAGACGCCTTTTCGCATCGGGTGAATCACCTTCTGGACATCGCCTTTTTTCATATGTTAATCGGGAACGAAGTTGATTATCACTTGTTGATGATGAACAAACAGATTCTTGTTTAATCCAAGTTCCAACTTCGTCCATTTTATTGTCACCATTTGCTGACCATTGATTAGATTGACTTTTAATTTCCACCGGAATGAAATATGGACCAAAAAGATCACCCATTCCTTTATAATGTGACCTTTGCTGACAGAAAACACAAATCCAAGGATTATCCATTAGAAAATTGTAAAAATATCTAAGCACAAATTAAAAACTGAAAAAACAATCACCAACAATTAACCAAGAAAACCAAAAAAAAAAGTGAATTTGAAAAAAAAACCATCGGCTTAAATTGAGCTTAAAAGCTGAAAACTGAGCCGTTCGAATACAATTTCGAGTTGATTAGCCGGCGAACGAAAATTTTACATTTTGTTAGCTATTTGCATCAATAGATGGCGCTTGTTGCAGGAAAATTGTGTTGACCATTTAATTTATTGATTGTTGAGGTCAATCAATAGTTGATTAAATCTGGACAACGATGAGAAAATTTAACTCAATTGATAAAATTGTGTCAAACTTGAAAGAAATGATTAAGTGAAAATTTCTATCTCATTGATTGGGTGAGAAAATAAACCAAAGTTAAACATTTTCATTCGTATTTACTTTCGATGATCATAATTAAACAAACTAATTAATTTCTCGAAAAGTTGATAATTTGAAGCTCGATTTCATTGAATATTGAAAAACGATTAGAAATTAAACCTTTATAATTAGCGATATTGTTTCTCTCCTGTATCTCTCTTTTTCTTTCTTTATCTATCTCCATTCACCTTGATTGTTGTTACTAAATTTAATTCGCTTAATTTGAACCTACAATTAATTAACTTGCAACCTAATTGAAATTCGAGCCATTAATGTATTAATAGTTGATTTTCTCATTTTAATTATACTTTCATCTCACTAAAATTGTTTATTTGTTCACGAATTGTGCTGATACTTGAAACATATTTGATTGCAACTGTAATTTAATCAATCATCTTTAATCGTCTTTTATTATTTTCCGGATTACAAAGATTCTGATTAAGCAAAATCTTTGGAATTGAGTTTATTTTTAGTTCTCTCCCAATCAACTTATCATATTATCGTTTGGTTATTTATTTATTTTTCTATCTACTTTTTCTTATTACTTTTAGGTAACATATTACAGAGAGAAAGGGAATCGTAGAGAGAGAGAGAGAGAGAGAGAGAGAGAGAGAGAGAGAGAGAGAGAGAGAGAGAGAGAGAGAAAGGTAAAAAGATGGGGAGAACGATGGAAATGCAACTGATGAAGATTTTTTTGGAAGATAAAGAGATGAAGTGAGGAAGAGAAATAAGAGAGAGAGAGAGAGAGGAATAGTCAAAGGTATAAAGTGGATTGAATAAGTGATTCCAAGGAATTGAGAAGGAAAAGGAAACCTCAAGAGTTTAGGTAAAAGTTCAGTGAGATTCAGTGACTTCGTTCATACAGGTAAACATACACATGAGTATTTGATGAAACTCGTAAACGTTACAAAGTGTAAATATAAGAGGAAACAAGAGGATGAAGAGAAATTTTTCATCATGAAGAAGATCAATGGTGAAAAAAGAGAAGATGATGACGACAAGAGAAAAAGAAAAAGAAAGGGAACAAGAAAGAAACAGGGAGTTTTTTTCAAAAAGATGATGAGGATGGAGAAGAGGGAGAGAGGAAAAGGTTAGTTGAAACGTTAAACGTTGCCATGTCAGTCAATTCTCATGAGAGTCTGTGTACTGGGAAAAGTGAGTTTGGTGAGAGAGAGAGAGAGGGAAGTCGGGGAGTTGGGAGGTAAAGGTGAGCGCAAAATCCCAGTTAAATCATTGATAAGTCAATAATAGCAACACTATACTCTCTCTCTCTCTCTCTCTCTCTCTCGTTCTCGTATTTCTCTCTCGCTTCTTTCTCTTTCTCTCCCTGTGTTCATCTTTATCATCTTCATCAATTTCATCTTTTTTACTTTTTCCTTTTTTCTCTCATCATCATTCAACATCATCTTTTCAACCTCTGATGCTACTGATGAACATTTTCATGCTACTTTCTCATCTTTATTTATCTTCTTCGTCTTCTTTCATCTCTTTCTCATCTTCTGGCTTGTTACATAAACAATCATCTTGTTCACCTTAACATCCATATATTTGTTATATTATCTTTATCATCCTCATCATTTACCTTTACATTGTTATTAATGATCACCACGTGACAGTGAATTTTTATATTCTCTTGATGAAATTAAACTCCATGTATGTGAATCTGTGTTTATGCATATGTTTCACTTACCTGTTCATTTCTGTAACTGTGATTAACTGATTATTTCATTTTTTTTTTCTCTCTCTCTAAATCATCATTACCTGTGCACAGAATTAATCAACATCATCACCATAATTTTTTATTCTTATTATTTTCTTTAATCTTATTCCTTAATCTAATCAACACATTGCGATTTAACTGATATCGGTTATCTGTTTACAAGAAAACAGAAAAAAGTTATCAACGAATTGGATAAATCATGTTGATTGATTGATCTAATTGTTAACATCTTCAGTTAGTTGTATCTGTTTATTGTTACATCATCTTTTATCAACAACAATTTACGAGATACAATCAAGTTTAATTGTCAACATCTCCATGTGATTTACTGGATTCTTTTTTTTTTCTTAACTTGACATTTTTATTTCTATTAGTTAACCATTCACACTTTGGTCTTGTTAATGTCTTCATTTGTAACTATCACCATCAACGACAATTACAATTATGATGGTAAACAATTAAGATCACAGAACTAATCAATCTGCCAACATTAACATTCATCTTGATGGTGTTGATTGATTGATGATTTAAAGTTTAGTTTTTTTCTTCTTCCTCATCTTGATTATGTTAATTTACAACAAGATCAACAATCAATGTGTTAATTATCCAGCCAATTTGATTGACAGGTAAGGTTACAATTAACTTCTGTTTTATCTTATTGATCAATTGATCATTTGGATGAATCTCTTTATCCCTTCATTACATTGATCTTAAATTAGTATCATCACCATGTTAATAAGCCTAACCAAGTTTCTCGGCCAATTTATTGTCACAATTAGTTTTAATTGTGATCATATTTGTGATGAGAAACTGTTTCATTTACCCAAAAAAAAAGAGATTACAATTTACTAAATTGGGACAATTTGTATTGATTCAGTTGATCTCCAGCAATTATTATTGTCACAATTTCTGTATTGTTTTTATATTCTTATTGCTGAACAATTAATTGGAGCAATTTATTTCCACCGGTGGCAAATCAATTGTTTCCTTTGCACTAATCGTAATCAGGTTTAAGTCTCTTATGCAACAATCAGTAAATTGCTGTTAAAACCAACGGTTAATCAGGATTAATGTTTAAATTTTTAATTGGAACAACAATTACTTTTGATTATATAGATTTAATTTAACTCCAATTAAATTTGAATTGCAGAGGAAAAGACAAACCCAATTAGACACAATTGTAACTCTAACAATAACTTTCTGATTAAATCAATTAAGTTACTTGAATTTCATAGTAAAATGAACACAACAAACAAACAATCAAATCAAATCATTGATTGTCAAAGATAAATATTTAATCAACCAAATAATATCAACTAAATAAAGTTAATTAAATGTATGTTGAATGTAAAATACAAAAAAAAAGGTTAAAATTAACTAAATCCTAATCAACCAGAAACAATCAGCTGAAATTGTTAACCTTCCCTCACAATCATATTGATTAACAAGCAATTTAATCAATTTAAATCTCGAGAAAATGAAAACTTTTAAACTAATAATAGATATTGATTATCACTATTCTTGTAATAAACTTGTTCTGATTTGATTTAATTGCAAAATCTTCAAGGCATAAGGTCAACAATTAATCCGAATTAATCTTATCAATTGTTAATCCAGTCTCTGAATATATTTACTAATACATGGGATTAACTGATTAACTATCAAAATTTTATCTCCTTAATTTAGGATCAAAGATGTTATCAGGATTTAATGTTGATCATCCGCTTGGAAAAACCAATTGATTAACCAAATTGATTATCTAAATGATTGTAATTGATTAATATCAACACACAAATTGATATTATTTTCAACAAATAATAACACATGAGAATTGATTATTATATAAATGTAATATATATTCATTTGGATTATTACTTTGAAGGGATTTGAATGATGATTAGTGATACAAAACAAGGGAATGGTTAATATTAATATAATCACAATCAACAACAATTTGAATAATAATAATAATACAACAATTACCACTCAGATTAATCGTTATAATAATAAGACTCCAACGACAGTTTTTTGGGAAAAGATAATCGTTAATCTGATTTGATTAACTCTCAATGACGACAACCAATGATTATAATTCAACTTTTGAATCAAGTGAGACAACGATAATTGATGATTTATATTCAGAGACAAATTTTGCAACCACTTTGTTGATATCAGTTTACGCAACCATGTTGATCTGTGTTGTCCTACTTTTTACCCGAATCATTTATATTGCCATTGTCCGGTCATTTAATCGTCCACTCCGGTCAAATCCTTCATTTATCATCAGCTCCTCAGATGGACCAACTTGTAATGACAGCTGATTGTAAATTGAGATGATGATGATGATCATTATTAACATGGAAAGTTACAAAGTCTCCAAACTCAAAATCACCACCAGCAAACTAACAACAACAACAACAACAACATAACAACATCAATAACAACAACGACAACATGATGATGATAGTTGATTCTCATGGATGAGAAAAAGAAACAAATTTCTTCTGTCAACTTAAAGTAATATCATGATGATTATCTTCCATCATCATGTTAGTTCCAAGCTGAATATTTCTCATCTTTCTCCTTCACCATGATCATCATCATCATCTCTTTGCCCTTTAGGTTTGCACATCTTCAATGAAACAATTTCTACTCTCTCTCTCTCTCATACACACTTACATAATCTTTGATGGTGATTATTATTATGGTGAAGTCCAACCATTAAATCATCATTATCAGCATCATTATTTACGCCATAATCGTCATCATCATTATCATCAATTGGATATAATAATAAAAAAAGGTGTCATCAGAAGCGAGAGGAAGATAATCTTTTGCATCTTCATCAACATTATCATCATCACATTAAACACAAACATCCTCTGGTCTTCAACATCATCATCATCATCATCATCATCATCTTCATCTTCATCATTTACACACTTTTCTAAGCCTAATTTTATATATATCATCTTCCCTTTAGCATCTTCATCTTTATCCTTATGCTTGTAATCACTTTATTCATCCATGAACATTAATTAACACCCAATTGATTACAAGTTTAAAATGATTAAACAAAACAAAAGAGTAACTAATTTACAAATAAATGAATCTAAGAAACAAAAACAATAGTGATTATCCAATGATGACGATGGTGATGATCCTTCAAAAGTCTGTTGTGTCTTTCAAGTTAATTAAAAACGAAAAAAACCTTAATTGTGATGTTAATTATAATCATGATTGTGTTAACCCAAACGGAAGGAAATTAAAGGTAATTAGCAATTAGTTTTTGATATTATTCTTCATCTCCTATTGTCAACCTAAATTCATTTATCCAATTCAATTAATAACAGTTATAAGTATCATCATCATCATCATAATCGTTGTCGTTAATTATATTAATTTGTTATTCAATTATTAATATTTAACAGTTAAATTTGATGAAACTTATATTTAATCGTTAATCTGTTGATTGGAGTAAAGATTTTGACAAGAAAATGATGCTCATGATGTTTGTTTGTTATTGTTTTGAGAATCGATGAAGAAAATGATAAAAATAATTGTAAAAATTGAAGGATTACAATTGAGATTAAAATTGGATTTTCAAAGAATCGAGATTGGAAAATATTAATCCCAAAGTTCACTCTCTTATAATTTATAATACTTTCATCTTCATCTTGTTTATCATCATCTTGTCATCATCTTGACAGACACACTCATCATGCTGATGGAAAAATATATAAAATTCAATCAATAGATGATAATATTTACGATTTGTTTATATTATCATGTTAGTGAGATGATGAGGATGAAGATGGAGATTAGGAAGAGGAAAAGGAAAGGGAAGTTTGTAAATATTATATGAGAATATGAATAATGTTCATCCCTCTTTTATCCTCTTGAAGATGAGGATGATGAGGAGGATGAGAGAGATGATTATTCTTTGGATACATCAATGACCAAGGTATTAGAAGTTTTTTTTATTCGAGTTTCCTATTAGAACTTTTTAAAATTGATTCGAAATGAATTATTTATTATTCTTCTCATATGTTGAGATAAACATGAGAATTGATTATTCAACAATCAACGGATTAATATTGAAATGAATCAAATTTAAATTCTATTAACAATTTAATCGTAATCTTTTTTTTTCCTCTCTCATTTTTAATTCTTTAGATTCATTGTAATCATAATTGAATATGGAATGAAAATAAAGCTCAACGATAAATGGAAAACAATTAATTGATTAATCAAATTAACTCTCAGTAAACGAGTAAAAATCAACTAATTACTTGACTCAATCAACTTAATAATCAATGAGAAATTAAAATCAATCGTGAAAACAGTTAATTATTACCTTAAATTGTTATCAAAATTTTTTTATTTGTAACATTCATCGTTGATGATGATTAACTAATTGTTTAAACTAAATGATACTCAACAACAATTTGATGACCAAAACAATTAACTAACTAAATAAATATAATCTTATAATTATTATATCAGCTGATTGTAAATTATTGTAAATAAACAAAATCAACCAGAATTGACACAATTAAATTCACAATCAATATCGCTGGAAATTAATATGAAACTGAATTAATTGTGACAATTTATTTTCAGCTTATTTTTAATAATTTAGTTAACACTTTATTTTTCTTGAGTTAACACCTCAGGCTTATTAAATTGTAACAATTAAAATTCGCATTTTTTGTCTGGTAGAAAAATATTGAACCTAAATGGTTAATCACCTAAGGGCAATTAATAACAATTGATTACAATTTAGAGCTGGAAAATGATGCTCATGATAAATTATTGATTAACCGTGAAACTTGATCAATTTAAATTTTTCCTTTTCCATGATTAAAGAGATTGATTGTTAAACAATAATTAAATTATTCTTTCATTTTGATTATCAAATTATTTCGCTCATGAATATAATTAATCATGTTTACTAAAGTTGATTAATCCGAGGACAAAAAAGTTCAGGTTAATGGGAGTTAACTGAATTAATATTGATTGTATCTGTTGTTGTTATTGTTGTGTAACATTAGCCATGATTAAATATTAATCATGGTTAAGGTTTGATGATGATTAAGAATGAAATTCAGGTTGATTAAGTTTCTATGAATAATTAAAAACAATGTTAACTTTGAATAGAAACTTTTTTTTACTATTAGTAACCAATGATAGTAAAAGGTAATTGATTAAAGTAAATTACATTTGGTAAAAGTTAATCATCAAGTTAATATTAGATAACATTTACATGATTAACAATTGTATGGATTAAATCATTTGAAAATATTCACCATAATTAAGCAAAATAAGAGTTAATCAAGGTTTTCAATTGTTCATAAGATAATCAATCATGTTCATGGTAATTCAATCAACTGATATTGAAAATTGATCAATAATTTGACTTGGAATTGATTTTTTTTCAGATTATCGTTTAAATCATCAACCAATATTAACTAATACATCAGTGATTTAATCAATTGATTGAAAGTAATGTAAATAATGATGAGTTTTTTTTCCTCAACAATCAATGAACTTTCATAGCAGTTTAATTGTTAACAAAGTTGATTAATTGTCCACAATAAAAATGTTGCCCTTTTTTACATAATATCAAAGCTAAAAATTGATTCGTTTGATTAGATAAATTCATAAATCATTGATTTAGTTAATGATTTATAAAGATAATTATCTGAGCAAAATCGTTTACTCTTTATTATTATTAAATTGTCATTGAGTTTTTTTCGGTTACAATTGAAATTCTGTTAATCAACAATCAAACTGTTCTGATTTAATGATGATAATGAATGTTCAATTTTTATTTCAAACAATCAAATTAAAACTGAATCGGTTCTATCAAAGAATCTCATTGAAGGATTTTAATGATAAAGAAACAATTAAACTGTTACAACAATTAGAATATTTTTTGAAAGTAAGCCTAACCTTTAGTCGAGATTTTCAACAGAGATTTGATCAACCGATTCCAATCAAATTAAAATTAATTCGCTTAATTTTTCGACTAATTGTTTCCATAACTTTATTACGTTTAATTGGTCTATTATTTATCTCATCTAATTGTTATCAAACAATTACCGCCGATCCGTTGATTGATGTCAAAGGCCGTGAATCTTTCATCATATTCACCATAATTCTCATCTCGGTTCACATGTTAATCCATGAAATGAATTTAATTCACGAAAAGCAGGGTCGATATATGATTGAATTAAGAACATTTTCTCACATTAAATCGCATCAATTATCACCTGATTATCTCAACATTGATATTGAACAAATTAAATCTTTCAAAAAGATTTTCCATTTTTCATTGCTCATAATTATAAGAATGTCACAAATTCTCATCGTTTCAACAATTCTATTACCATTATTAATCCGATTGGCTAATTCTAAATCGTTGGCAACTTATCAGTTAATTGTTTCATCTTTTTTTTGGATAATCATTGAAGCTATTGTACTAACTATTAGTGTCTTCGGGGGTACATTGCTCGGAGGCTGTATGATACTGTACAGTATAATCCTTTACTTTCAGTTGGATAAAATTGATCGATTCAGTTTGTCGTTAGTGAAATATGGATTAACTAATCACCATGGGAAGCAAATTAAATCACTCAACGTCCACATGATTAAATACATGAATAGATTTGATAAACTAATAGATGATATAAGGTACATCATGTTAATCCAGTTCCTGTTGATCTCATTCTGTGGTGATTCCTTCATATTTATTGGATTAACTGTTGACACTGGCTCTAAATTGTGGTCTAATTCACTTGTTGCTTTTGGATTTTATTTTTTAATCTTTGTTGGTATTGGAGGTTATATTTGTGGATTTTTCTACCTTAAGGTAAACAATTAGTTAATTGTTGTTCTTTTCATCAAGTGTTAACTTATTATTTACTTTATTTGCGATCGTCAAGCTTAAAGGGTTACAGGTTAATCTGCTAAGAGTTTTAGTACATTCAAAAAATGAGATTAATCAACAATTTAAGGTTAGTTTGCTGAACAAAATGATTTCATATTAATTAACTTTCTTTATAGTCCATGGAATTGATTCAGCGACTTAATCATCCAGATACTGGAGTGCTAATCGGTGATTTCTTAATGATTAAACCTCAATTTATTGTCTATGTAAGTACACATTCATCCTATTTAAGTTTATTGTTTACTAATTATCTTCTTAACTATCAAAGTATATTCTGGAAAATATGACCACAGTTATGCTGCTAATTCTTAATTTACGATCAGCAATAAGACCCTAATTGCCAAAAGATCTAAATATTTCATCAATCGTTTCGAATAATTAATCCAGTTTGTGGTCACCATGTTTTAATTTGACTAATTATCGAAGTATCATTTGATTTTTGATTATTACCAGCAGGAAATAATATAGGTTTTCTGCAAGTTAACTAAATAAAATTATATATATTGTGTGATTGAACTGGATTTGTCGGACTTTAATCTTTAATAACTTTTTTATTTATGGGAATTTTTTCTTGAAATTTGTTTTAAAGCAAAGATACAAGTTTAGATTAGTTCGTTTATTATATTTTCGAAATGTACACCTTCGTTCTTTTTTACCATTTGAGCCATTTGACAAAGCAGAAAATCGCTCTTTTGATCATTTCGTTGTCCATACTCTCAGCAGCTTGAGTAATAGAAACCGATGTTTGGGGGTTTTTACGATATACTAAATGCTTCCAAAGCAAAAAAATCACAAGTGTTGAGATCTGGGCTGTACGGGGGCCACTCTAAGCCATCGACATAATGTTTTTAGAATTTGAACCACAAGAGAAACAATGTTGGTAGGATGAGAATCAATAGTAGTATAAATTTGTTGGCTTTGGCCAAATTCCAGCAAATGAATTGAATAATTAAAATAATTATTTAATGATGACAAAAATAAAAAAGAGATAATTTTCAATGAACTCATGCCCTAATTTTACACTTTTCAGTAGTAATAAGTTTATTTTCTGAACAATTCGAACGTGATCGAATTTTTAAAAATGCACTCAATTTTTCAGACAATTCGTATTCTAATTTTGATCGTTCAAATTGTCTGAGAACTGAACTTTTTTGATTTCGAAAAAAGTGTAAAATTAGGGCATTAAATCATATAAAGAGAGGGAATGATGATCAAAAATTATCAGTTCAATTCTGAACATTGTTGAATCAACATTAATATTGTTCTAACGACTGATAATTGCTTTTTACAACGTTCAAATTTCGTTCAAGTTTTATCGTTTTTTTTCAAAGTTTGCAATATATCATAATATATATCATAATATATATATATACAATACGGACATTAAGTTTCGTACACTTTCAATAATTGTTGCGCATAGGTTGATTCTTCAATCAATTTACATTAGAAAAGCAACTCTATGCGCAACTTTGAGAAAGTGATGCAAACTCTATATCTCAATCGGTAATTATTAACTTATTTATTGCTCAATCCATGACCATTTAACTTTCAATTTGTCATTGATTTTAACCTTTGCGTTTTTTTTCTCCTTTGTGAAAATTGTGTCAAGGTATCGTTTGGTTATTGGTTTTGGCTCGGAACTTTCTCGTTGACATTATTATCGAATTTACGTCTAATGCACGAAATTATAAAGTAAGAAACTGTTCATTGTTCAACATTTCATTTGATGAATTTCTTTCTTGTTTAATTTTTATTCATTGATAATGAATTAGAATGTCCCCTTTTTTACTTTCTATTACTTAGTTTTAGTCTTTTTCTCCTTTTCTCTTTCTCTTAAACTCTGCAATCATTTTGTAGATGTATTTCTTGTCTCTCTGAATCAATCAGTTTTCTCTCTCTCTCTCTCTCGAATCAATCAGTTTTTTCTCTCTCTCTCTCTCTCAAGGAAACAGTCTCATTCTTCCTCTTAATCAGTTTCTTTTTTCACTCTCTCTCTCTCCAGCAACAATTCTGTCTCTCTGAATCAATGAGTTTCTCTCCAGTAAACTTTTCTCTCTCTGTCTTTCTATTTTCTCACTCTCGCTCTATCTTTTTCTCAGTGGACAGTTCTCTATCTCTCTACCTCTACAGAAAAGAGTTATCTCTCTCTTAAGATAAATTAGTTTTTACTCTCTCTCTAACTAACTAAATCAGTTTTCACACTCTCTCCATTAAGTAATTATCTCTCTCTCTCTTGATTCATTAGTTTCTCTCTCTTAAGATAACTATTTGAAAAGTAACTATTTTTTCTCTCCAGTAAACTGATATTGTTTTCTCTCTCAATCAGTCAGTTTTTTCTTTCTAGATCAATTAGTCTCTCTCTCTCTTTCTATCCAACAAACAATTATCGCTCTCTCTTTCTCTCCAGTGAACAATTTCTCTCTCTATTAAGATCGATACGTTTTAACTTTCTCTCTCTCCAATAAAAAAATATCTCTCTTTCTCTCTCTCCCGAAAACATTTGTATCTCTCTCTCTCTTTCTCTCAAGTGAACTGTTGTTACTCTCTCT